GGGTACACTCCTATACACTACACTATCTATATTCTGATCTTGGCTATTTTAGGAGCTAGATCAGTTTGACAGCAAGGCATATACACATAGAAATATCCTTGCATGAATGCATTCACGAATATATGTATAAGTATATATTATCATCGGTTTCATCATAATTATAATCATAATTATACTTCATATAAGTATCGATAGTTTAAGTTACCTAACTACAAACATTGCATAAAGGCTGTAGACAACAAATTGATGTATGGCTCATAAATAAAAGGATTGCGTAAAGCCTAGTTCCGAGAATCTAATCACGACTAACAACAAATACACTGCTTAAAGTAGGAGGCAGACGCGGCGTATCTGTATGTGTGTGTGTGTGTGTGTGTGAGGAAGTGTCGTAGGTGAATCAAGCACACGTATAAATGGCAAGTGTTGCATTTTGTATATGTGTGTGTGTGTGTGTGTGTGTGTGTCTGAGTTTGATCGCTTTTGCTTTTGCTGCTCGTGCATTGACCTGGAGAACTAAGCTTTTGCTGGCAAAAAGCTACTCGCCAAAAGCTATATGCAAAAAGTAGTTTCAAATATGCGAAAGCTTTCACTGACTATTCAACAGGAGCTAGAAATACTGAAGCAGAATGAATTTTAACGGATGTTTATTGTTGCTATTGAACTATTCTACTATTTGAAACATCTGGCCATATAAACTACTCATACTTAAAACTTAAATTGGACTAGCTAATACCTAATTTCAGCTAATTGCATTCAACAAAACACCTGCTCCTATTTGCCCATTTTGCACTAGCGACACCTTGACAAGAAAACACGTAATGAATACCTGAAGATCCCTTAATTCTCCCACACATCCTTATCGCAAAACCCAATAGAGCGAATTTAGAAAATTTTATAAAATTAAATAATAAACTAAACATAGAACTATAATGTATATAATATACATAATAATATATATATATATATATAATAATAAAATAAACTTCTGTTTTGAACAGGGCCTGCTCTCTTCCGGCCACGATGCCGTCTTCGTGGGCATTGGACTGCCAGAGCCAAAGATCGATCCGATTTTCAAGGGTTTGAGCACTCAGTCGGGCTTCTTCACGTCCAAGAACTTTCTGCCCTTGGTTTCGGACGGCTCGAAGCCAGGTCTGTGCGCCTGCAAATCGGCCCAGGCGCTGCCCAAGCTCTACGGCAATGTGATTGTCCTGGGTGCCGGCGACACGGCGTTCGATTGCGCTACCTCGGCGCTGCGCTGTGGGGCGCGGCGTGTGTTCGTTGTCTTCCGGAAGGGCTCGACCGGTATTCGGGCCGTGCCCGAGGAGGTGGAGCTGGCGCGTGAGGAACGCTGTGAGCTGATGCCGTACCTGAGTCCGCGCAAGGTCATTGTGAAGGACGGCCAGATCACGGGCATGGAATTCTGTCGTACCGAGCAGAACGAGCAGGACGAATGGGTGGAGGATGAGGAGCAGACCGTGCGCCTCAAGGCCAACTTTGTCATCTCCGCCTTCGGCTCGGGTCTGCAGGATGCGGACGTCAAAGAGGCGCTGGCGCCGCTCGAATTCCGCGGTGGCTTGCCCGTGGTGGATCGCAAAACCATGCAGAGCAGCGTGCCGCAGGTCTTCCTGGGCGGTGATCTGGCCGGCGTGGCCAATACCACCGTGGAGTCGGTCAACGATGGCAAAGTCGCCGCCTGGAGCATTCACTGCCAGCTGCAAGGTCTGCCCCTGGACACACCCGCCGCCCTGCCACTCTTCTATACGGACATCGACAGCGTGGACATTTCCGTCGAGATGTGCGGCCTGAAGTTCGAGAATCCCTTCGGCCTGGCCTCGGCACCGCCCACCACCAGCGCAGCGATGATACGCCGCAGCTTCGAGCAGGGCTGGGGTTTCGTGGTGACGAAGACGTTTGGCCTCGACAAGGACATGGTCACAAATGTGTCGCCGCGCATTGTGCGCGGCACCACGTCCGGCTACAGGTACGGGCCGCAGCAGGGCTGCTTCCTCAACATCGAGCTAATCTCGGAGAAGCGAGCCGAGTACTGGCTGCGCTCGATTGGCGAGCTGAAGCGCGATTTTCCCGAGAAGATCATCATAGCGAGCATCATGTGCGGCTACAACGAGGCGGATTGGACGGAGCTAGCCACCAGGGCCGAGCAGTCGGGCGCCGATGCTCTCGAGCTGAATCTATCCTGTCCGCATGGCATGGGCGAGAGCGGCATGGGCCTGGCCTGTGGCCAGGAGCCCCGACTGGTGGAGGATATCTCGCGCTGGGTGCGCAAGGCCGTCAAAATTCCCTTCTTCATCAAGCTGACGCCAAACATTACGGACATTGTGTCCATTGCCAAGGCAGCGCATCGCGGCGGTGCCAACGGTGGCTCGGCCATCAATACGGTGCAGGGTCTGATGAGCCTGAAGGCGGATGGGACGGCCTGGCCGGCGATTGGCAAGGAGCAGCGCACCACGTACGGCGGCGTCTCCGGCAATGCCACGCGTCCCATGGCACTGCGCGCCATTTCGGAGATAGCGAGGGCGTTGCCAAAGGATTTCGTTATATTGGGCATCGGAGGCATTGATTCCGGCGAGGTGGCGTTGCAGTTTATCCAGGCGGGCGCTACGGTTCTGCAGGTTTGCTCGTCCGTACAGAACCAGGACTTTACGCTCATCGAAGACTATTGCACCAGCTTGAAGGCGCTGCTCTACCTGAAGGCCAATCCGCCGCCAAATAACGGCGCCTTCTGGGACGGACAGTCGCCGCCAACGCCCGTGCACCAGAAGGGCAAGCCGGTGGTCCACCTGACCGGCAGTGGCAACCAGACGCTGGGCTTCTTTGGCCCCTACCAGCAGCAGCGCGACATCAAATTGGCCGAACTGCGCAAGGAGAAGGGCGCCCTATGGGATGCCGAGCGGACCACCGTTGATACCTCCAACCCTGGCGCTGTCATCAAGCCGGCGCCCAAGATAACAGACGTCATTGGTGCCGCCCTGCCGCGCATTGGCCCCTACAAGAGCCTCGACAACAAACAGCAGAAAGTGGCCCTTATCAATGATGTGAGTGCTTCGCTATATCTGCATGTTGACCTAATAATATAAATTTATGTGTATTCCTGTGCATTAGGACATGTGCATCAACTGTGGCAAGTGCTATATGACGTGTGCCGACTCCGGCTACCAGGCAATTGAATTCGATAAGGACACCCACTTGCCGCATGTCAACGACGACTGCACCGGCTGCACCCTCTGTGTCTCCGTCTGTCCCATCATCGACTGCATCAGGTAAGTGGACGCACTTAGCGATAAGACCCCTATGTATTACCTATGATTTACGATTTCTGAATTCTTTCTTTTGCTAGCATGGTGCCCAAGAAAATACCGCACGTTATCAAGCGAGGAATCGAGGATAAGGACAAAACGTTCTACACGCATGCGCTAAGCCAATGCCAATAATTTTACAAAATAATAATATTCCTTTACTGTAATAGAATATTCCAACCTTTTTTTTGTCAACTAAAGATGTATGTCAATAAAGTAAAGAAAATGAATGAGTATAATTAGCAACAAATAAAATTAAAGTTATTAATTTAAACACAAATTTATATATTTTGTTTAACACTGCAAACAATCTATATAATCAAATAAATAAAATAATCAATAAATAATGAAATCATTAAGCTATGCGTAAAATCATGTTGAAGTTTCTCTCCCTCACTTATGCTCTTCATCTCTCAATCTCTATTTCTTTCGTTCTCTCTCTCTCCCTCCCCCGCACTCAATTTTCATTCCTTCTTTATATCCAGATCTCTCATCCCCTCACTCTCATTCTGTCGTTCTTGCTCTATCTCTCCTTCTCTCTCGCTCTTTTTCGTTAACAAATTTGAAATTTGAAAATAGCGCCATCTATAGACTCGCGTTCAGTAAAGTAACAGAAAAAAATAATGTAATCTAACTAGTTTCTTTTCCGTGTTTACTCTTATTTATTATAATTGAATTAATAACAATATACTTATAAAGAATAATTAGGTCAAATTAAGCTTAAATTGTTTGACAAGGTCAGAGCGAAATATTTTGATTGACCCTCGCATCACGATACAAGGTTAAGCAAACGGTTTGCTAACTTCTCGCTGTGACGTCACACTTTCAGAGAGTGTGCGGCATCACCAAGCAATAGCTTGGTAGCCTCGTTTAATATAACCTTCACCTACATACACACATGCATCAAGCGGCAGTTCGCTGTGAATGGCATATTCACAGCTGTTTGATATTTGTTTGGCCTCTGTGCATCAGCTCACAAATTGTTGTTAATGGCCACCGAAACACAGTGTTCAAGCCCATCAAATTCCCCCACAGATGATAACAATGGATTGCTATCGGCGACCGTGATTGCCGGCCTCAAGAACCTGGGCACCACACTAACAGCGGTCATCAGTAAAACACTAATTGCCAACTCTCTGAAATTGACGCTCCATCCAGATGCAAGTATGCAGCTAAATATTGCTAAAATCTAAAATATATGGCATAAACAATTCGTATGGTAACAGTTATAGCACCAGTGCCCGAAATTTACGCAACGAACGCAGCCAGCGCCAAACAGAGTGAATATGCCGTGGTCACGCTCTACTCTGTCGCCACCAAGCACGGCTGGAGCAGCATTACGCTGCGGCAGCAGCTGGAAGCACTGGACCTGAATGCCAGTGCCGTTGATGAACTAACCCGGGTCTACGAGGACAATCGAAAGGATCTCGTACTGCGCCAATTGCAGTTGGGCCACAATTTCCCGCACATCACCGACGTGCAGTGGCGCATTGTATGCGACGTGAAGTCCTCGACGTCGGACCGCAGCAGCGGTGCGCCACATTTCAACATCAATTTGGGTCACTATCGCCAGAGTAGCGGTGAGCGGGTCACCGACGTGGAGTTCGTGTGCAATGCCGAGGAGCTGCAGTCGCTGGTCAATCGACTGAAGGACATCGAACGACACTGTAATCAAGTGGCCATCACTTAGAGAAATAATTAGCTCATTCGTATATTGTCATATATATATGTATCTTATACTGTCTATATATATACATGTATACATATACATATATATTTCATATATACATATACATATACATATATACGCATGTACATATATGTATTTGATTTCGTGTATTACAAACTTATGAGGGTGTAAATAGTTTGTACACAAATATTTGTGACAAGGAACAAAAACTTGACATTTAAAGACATCGTCACCACTGAGAACGGCTACGGACTTGTGTCATCCTGCGTTGCTATCTGTCGCTGGCCAGCCTCAGCTGAGCTGTGTGGGGGCGGGCCATAGTTTGTTGGCTAAACTGAAATTGTACTACAAAACTGATATTTTTATATGTCGCTTTCCACTGCGTCATTGGGGCACATCTTCGAATCGAATTTTAAACTCTGCCGGCGCAAGCAGCTCCACGAGCAGACTGTAGTTGTTGGGCGCCGTGCAGAATATGGTGCCCGAGAAGTAAACGCTGTCGTTCTCCTCGGCAGCTATGAGGACGCAGTCATTGTGATTGGATAGTCGCATATTGAGGCCACGAAAGCGATAGTCTTGTTTGTACAATACTGAGGCGTCTCTAGGTAAAAAGTATGGCCTGCCACTGAATGGGTTTAGAAAGTCTGCCCAATAGCCCAACGAGAGTAAACGGTCACTGATTTCCCTGGCAGCGAGCACAAACTGTAAGAAGACCATTATTATTATAGACTAAGGCTGTGGCTGTGACTGTGGCTGTGGCTGCGGCTGCGACAGTTGCTCACCTTTGCTGCACCTTTTTCAATGTCGCCTTCGTAGCTCAGTGTTAGAAGTGTTATGGCATAGTCTTTTTGGCCGATGGCACGCACTGGGAAGAGCTCGAAAATTGAATCACGTATCAACACCGGACACTGGCAGCATGAGAATTCTAAGCGTGACTTGTCTACGTTCACATCCTTGAAGAAATTGACTAAATTTGCCAGCGGCTCCAATAGGCCAACTGTAGATGTATCGCCCTGCCAGGCGGGACCTGTGGCATTCGGTAAATAGAAGCGATTGTGGCGTTGGGAAGTCAGTTCCCAATTGGGTTCCTCCTCCAGACTGTTGAGATCGTCTGTTGAATGTATTTAATGCAAATCTCAATTGCTGGACACACAACATTCATCAGGTCCACTTACCATCGTCAACGCCGCGTGATTTGGACACGGTTTTGAAGGGTTCGCCTGCATCCGGTGGTGGACCGTTTCGTTTCGAATAGGATGCAATGCGTCCACCGCACGCCGATTGCATTGGCTGCGGACTAAGCAGATTTCTCAACATACTATTCGCCTGCATGGGCTTCACGTAGGACTGGCCCAAAAGGCATCGTCCAAATAATTGGCTCAACGTACGCGACATTATATCATAAGCTCTGCAAGCAAACGCGCAATTTATTTGCAGTAGAACGACTTTGATCGGACCAGTGAACGGTCACACTGCGTGCACTCCACTGGCAGCTGTTGAATGACGGACAAAATTCCCGAAAATTGGTTTGTTCTTATAATTTCACGTAAAATTTTGTATTTTATTTGAAAATCCTCATCAGAATGTCGAAAGTTAAACTATCGTCAGATTTTTCAAGAAATTTTTTGTTTTTGTTTTTGTTGGTTTTTTTTACGTGTTGCGTTGATTGTCGATTGTTCCAATCGAAACGGAAATTTTACGCCCAAGCTGCCATATCACAAAAAAAAAATTATGCACAAATGTAAATATTTTCTTTCCTCTTTGTAACACTAGTGCAAAATTCTGATGGAATTTTTCTTTTGTATATAGATATATAGATTCATATAAACACTGAATTTACAAGCTCAAAGATCAAACACAATTTCAAATTTTTTAGCGAATCGGCATTCTATACAATAACAAAAGCAATAAATTATAAGGATCTATTCTAAATGAATGGGAAAACTGTTTTTATAAAAAATGTGTATTTATTACGTATATACAAAAGGCTATGTGACTATTACAGATTTCGATTCGATTTCCAAATAGAATAAAAACCCAGCATCGCCCTCACTACAGTGATATACATATACATGTATGTACAGCTTCTTCAGCATATCATTTAAGGTTGTATTCAGTTTTAGACCCGATAGAAACATTCAGTCGCCCGATCTGCACAATTGTCGTAGGGCTTGAACATGGGATCGTTTAGTTCCGCCTCGGGTACGCAGGCGCAGTGGAAGTTCTTGTTGTCTCTGTTATATAGCTTGCGGGGATAGCCAGACCACTCACGCTCCTTGCCATCGCCGCTCGTTGTGGTGCACCAGACGCGAGTGCCCTTCGCCTCGGACCACTCGATGTTGCAGCCTGGATATCGATTACGCAGCTCGTCAACTTGCGCCTTGGCTATCTTTGCCTCGTCCAGCAGTACCAGGAATTTCTTGTGGTAGACCGTCGGCTGGCCCGCTTCGTCATAGAAGCGCCCAATTAGCTTGCCCTTATAGGTATACTCCTTCTCGTAGAATTGCTGCCACTTGGCTAGCTCAATCAAGTCGTTGCCCTTCAGGCTGAGCACATCATCTGCCGTAGTCGGATCGTAGTGCTCGAACTCACCGCTCACAAAAGAGACGGATGCATCTCGGCCAACAAAAAAGTTGTAACTGCAGCCAGGTCCATAATGCTTGATGCCGCGACTGACATCAAACACGGCACCGAGCAGTGCCAAATAGATGGGTGCACCATTCTCCCCGTTGTACGTGGACAGCTGCTCCGCCGTGAAGATACTGTCGCGTGTCTCCGTGAACTTAACGGGAACACTTTCGGCACGCTCGTTGGCGGCTCTATTCAAATAACGCGCAGCTCCTATTTGCAGGAGCTGCACGATATCATTTTGGTAAACTTTTCCCAGAACGGCTATAATTATTAGAAAGAATGCAAGGCGGTAACTTGAACAGCACTTTACAAAGCCAAACATTCTGTCTACTTATGCGTGTGTGTGTCTGTGCGTGTGTACGTGCGTATCAAATTCAACCACGAATGCTTAGTAAGCTGATCACTTGAAACTGGACGCCGAAAGTGAAAGCTCAGCATAAGCAACGGCTCATTTCAGACTGCACCAGTGAGAGATTGATTATTTTCTTTTCTATCAAATCAGATATTTATGGTTTCAAATATATGTGTACATAGAAGTTTATGCTTGACTGCAAAATTAAATCGCAATTGAGAACGATAAGCTGCATACCAAGCGCAAGTGAAGTTACTGTTGTTATGTTATGGTTCTCGGCACAGCTGATTTTTACCATTCAAAGTTAACGCTGAAATGTGAGTGGCAAATACAAAGACCCGTTACTAAATAGATGCAGTTTTGATCGCTTAATACAAGTACAAATGTATTAAAAAAATATAAAATATGATAGCAGACCATTCCACAAAATCCACAGTCAGCATTGATGCGACCAAGGCGAAAAAAATATGGATTCACTGCAATTCTTGCTTCGAGCATTATGTTAATGAAAAAACTGTTATATTCTTGCTGGCATGTCAACACGTTATATGCGAGAAATGCGTCACGGCCAGCTTGGGTCGTATTCCCGGTGATGCACCCACCTATGTGTGCCCGATTTGTCAAAAGATGGTGCGTGGACGCCAGGTAAACAATGCGTTGCCATCAAATCTCAAGGGCATGTTCCACCCAGCGCCATGGCACGACGGCCTGCCGCACGATCTCATCGACTCGTTCCAGAGAGCAAACTTTAAGAATTTGGAAAAATTCATATTGAAAAAGGTGGGAAAGCATAATATACATAATTGTTTTAGGCAACAACTTAATATTTTTATGATTATGATGCAGGAAAAGGAAGAGCAGAAGTTGGATAAGGACCTATTGCTGGCCCGCGGAGTGTGTCAGAAGCAATATTTGGAACAGCACCGCCTTCGACGAATGCTGAGAGAGCTTAAGTTTCGAGTGCGTAAGATAAGTCAACAAGTGAAAATTAAAAAAAGAAAACTTGCGCAATCTCGGTGAGTTTAAACCGCCATCTGATTTGAACAAAAATAACGAAATTTTCAATTGCAAATTGTTTTGCTTCTGCTTGCAGGCGGGCGCATCGATCCATTTCAGTTTCTACAAAAAAAGCCGAAAAGCAAATCACTAAACATTCATTGCCAGAATTAAAGAGTGTGCCCATAACCAGTTTTGTACATCACAATAATTATTCTTTTGACTTGTAAATATCAATAAATACCAATTGCCAAGTAGATAGTACAAGAGAATCATTTGAGCAAGGTATATTTGTAAATGTTACGCGCCGTTTACCAGCACTGTTTGTCATGCTCTTCTTCTTCTTCTTGGCTTGCGCTTGCAACAATCGTCTACTGTGGACGCCATTTTGAATCAAACGATACTGTGTGACTGACTGTGCATATGCCAATACAATTTGACTGTATGTTTTTATTAAAGTCGAGTGAATAGAACACGCGAATGGCAAATAGAAAAGAAGTTGCGCATTAAAATCGGCGCTTTACATTGCATTTGTAAACGGTGACAACGCCAGTCGAAATTAGTTTTTTAAAGCGAACGAAACTTGTGCGGTGCCAAGCGAAAATGATGAACGGCACCAAGCCAGGCGTGGTTCTCAATTGTCGCACATGCACCCGTGCATGTAAACAATACAAATCGCTGCAAGATGAAATTGAAATCGGACCGGAGGGCAGCACTACACTCGCCAATATGCTGCAATTCTGCTCCAGTCTGTCGTTCGAGCCGCAAGATGGAGCTGCAATGCCCCAACACATTTGCATGCATTGCCTGCAGCTGCTGGAGCAGGCGTTCAACTTCAAGCGCATGGTAATTGACTCCGATGAACTGCTGCGCCTGGGTCTCGAGGAGGTGGACAACAATGCCAATGCCAGCGGTAGCAACCAGGAGTATGTGATGATCGAAGTGTTGAGCGAGGATGCTGAACCGGATGCAGGCAAACAGGACTCCAGTTTGCACGAGGTTGCAGCGCTTGTCGAAGCGTACAGTGAGCAGGAGCCGGAACATGAGGAATTTGTCGTCGATGATGTTTGCGTGGATGCCGAAGAAGAGGTTGGTGCCGAAACAGAAACGGAAGATGCTATAGAGCCAATCAATGAGTTCCATGCGGCTGATATAGAATATGTGACAATTAAAACCGAATACGACTCGCAGGTGGAGGACGAAGATGAAATCGAGATTATAGACTCCCCGCCCATGGAAACGGTCAGTGAGCAAATGCAAATCCAAATGCTAGACGATCAAATGGTCATGATGTCAGGCGAGGAGCCCATCGATGAGGTAATTGGCGAAGTCGAATCTGAGGATATTCTGGATATCGAGCGTGAGGAGCATTTGGTAATCAAACACTCATAATATTTATATTAAATGTAACCATATTGATAACTTCTAGATTGCTGCTGATAGCGAGGAGGGAGAAGAATTTATGGAAGACTCCGATTCTCGACTCTCCATTCCGGTTGTTACTGGACCCCCAGTCGAGGTGCTACCTCACGTTTGTCATGTGTGCAACAAAGCATTCCGCCAGCAATGCCGCCTCAACCAACATATGCGCTCCCATGTGGATGAGAAGCTCTACACGTGCGAGATGTGCGGCAAGAAGCTGAAGCACTTGCGCAACCACAAGGAGCACATGCTAACCCACACGAATGCCAAACCGCATCAATGTTTGGTCTGTGCACGCTTCTATCGCACCACATCCAGCCTGGCGGCCCACATGCGCACGCACGCCGAGGACAAGCCATATAAGTGCGATCAGTGCGGACGCAGCTATGCGGCCTTCGATCACCTGCGCCGGCACAAGCTGACGCACACCGGCGAACGTCCGTATGCGTGTGATCTGTGTGATAAGGCGTACTATGATTCATCCTCCCTACGGCAGCACAAGGTCAGCCATACGGGCGAGAAGGCGTTCACCTGCGAAATCTGCGGCGTTGGGTTGTCCCAGAAGTCCGGCTATAAGAAGCACATGCTGGTGCATTCCGGCGAAAAGCCGCACAAATGTCCAATCTGCGGACGCGCCTTTACCTTCACCAGTAACCTGAATGCCCACGTGCGCCTACACTCCGGCGAGAAGCCGTTCAAGTGCGACAAATGCATGAAGGCATTCCCAACCAAAAAGCGCCTTAACAGCCATTTGCGTGTCCACAACAAGGAGACGCCAGTGACTAGCACTACCACCGGCACAAACACCAGCCCCGATCGTGCCAATGCCGTGGCGGCGGGCCGTCGCACAGCCGCGAATATGCCCGATGTAACTGACCAGCAGGTGTCCACCTCCAAAGTGGTTGTCGTGCTGTAAATGCAGTAAGCAATAAGCCTAGTTCTTACACTTAGAATATAGAAACCTACCCACACCTATCCTATGTATATAGCAACAGATAATTTTACTATGTACACGTACACGTATACTACACGGACTTGTTCATCTGGTATCACAATTGGTCAACGATACTGAAACACTGTAAATTTGCATTACAACGAATCGCAGGCTTGAGGATAATTATCGTTCGAGATCCACAAATGCTGATATATATTATTTCAAACAAACATTGATATTTTTAACGTAAAGCCATATTTAAAAAAAAATATATGCCGATTAGAGGTTTTTTTTTTTTCGTTTTAAAATTTTTAGTGTAAATTTCGAATGGTTAACAAAATTGTAAATACATATGTGATTTTTCGGCCGTTCCGCAGCTAAATCATACATTTTGTATATTTCCGACACAATCACATATACATATATATGTATATGTACATAATTTATGTAAATATATATATATATACCTATATTCAAAAGGCTGTAATTACTTGTACTCGAACAGAACGTGTATGTATATATAAGCAAAAAAAACACAAAATTAATATTAAAATAAAAATTTTATAAAATCCACATATCAAATAAATTATTTTATGTATAGCATCGATCCGAAATGAATATAAGACTAAGGTTGTAATAATCGGATTTCAACCAGGTTGACAAACCGCTATGATTATACATAGCTTATATTTGATATATACATATGGGGACTAAGGGAATGTTCTGGTTTTCAACTAGGTTAACAAATCGATATGTGATATAGGAATCAATTAGAAGAAGATCGAAGGAAAATTCCATCCATCGCCTGGTGGGAATGCACATTCTCCGATCGCTTCCATTCGACCTGGGCTCAAAGTAAATGGAACATATGATCGGGATTTTATTCTGGAGACAGCTCCAGGTCCAGGTTTGCCAGGAAGCGGCAGCTGTAACTGCACATGGACATTCTCCAATCGCTTTCATTGCAACAGGAGTCAATACGGTCGAGCCATTGAAGAAAGCAATTATCCGTGAGTGAGCCATAATTTCCTGACCACCGGAAGGCCATAGTCAGGGCAAGGGATAATTATAACCAGCCAAAGATTCATTGATTATAAAATCGTTAATGCCATAGTTATATTTCAAATGCCAAATGGCTCTTTTATTTGCCGTGTTATCAGGTTCTATTCTCTGGGTGTTGTGTGTGTGTGTGTGTGTGTGTGTGTGAACATGTGCGCGTGTGTGTGTGTGTGTGTGTGTGTGGGGTGTGGCCAGGCGAACCGTTTGGGCCGGTTCACGTTTGGGTCGCCTTTTGACTTTTTGTCTTTTTGTTGCCCGCTGGCTTCGGATTGGTGGGGGTTTTTCGTGTGTGGGAGCGCTTGTGCGCGATCAGGTTGCTTGAGTAGCGGAAATTGCGTCCGCAGGTGTCACAGGTATGCGGCTTCTCACCCGTATGGGTGAGCATATGTTTTTTGTAGCCAGACTTTTGGGTCAATCCCTTGCCGCAGATGTCGCAAGTGAAGGGCTTGACGCCGCTGTGGCTGAACAGGTGCGAGCGCAATGATGATGCCTGTCTGTAGATCTTTCCACAGAATGTACACTTGTTGGGATTGTTCGGGTTGTGTAGTGTTATGTGGCCATCATAGGCGTTGCGTGTCTTAAACGATTCGCCGCAAATGCTGCAGACAAAGGGTCGATTGTCGCCGTGCAGTTGCATGTGATATTTGAATGAATTACTGGTGCTCAGCTGTTTGCCACAAATCTGTAAGAGATAGAACGATCGATTAGCAACTTTATCGAGATCATGCTAAAGTCTCGGGCTTTTGGTTATTTGGTGCTCACCGGACATTGAAGGGCGGGATTGTGGGACTTACGGCGCTGTTGCGGACGCAGCTTGAGCTCGATGTCCGCATGTATGATACTCAATGACGAGTCGTTTTCACATTCCACGGGCAGATTGTAGTTCACCTCAAAGAACTCAACAGTGGGATCGCTAACCTCAAAGTGCACTTCGCTATCCAGCATTTCGTCGGGCGCAGGCTCGTGATCGTCATCTGGTTGAGAGGATGCGACGCTGTTCACGGGTGATTGTGGTTCTTCGAGCACATAGACATATTCATCCGCACTCGCCGCTTCCATGACAGCATTCGCCTCAGCTTCAGCCTCAGGTTCAGGCTCAGACACAGGCTCAGCCTCAACATCGACAAGATTCGCCGGCGATGGAGATCGGGATATGGTGGCTCTAGATAGTCGAGCATTACGCTTCCTAAGCACGTGGTCCGTGCGCAGCGCAGTACGCTTGAAATCGTACACCTGGGTGAGCGATTCCACGCACCGCTTGCATATGTGTGTGGGCAGGAATTGCTCCTCCTCGAGCACCTGCAAGTTAGCGCAGTAGCTGAGCAGCGCACCGAGCGTTGTCAGTTCGCCGGCGATGATGTGCGGCTTGTAAAGCGAATAGGATTGTGTGGATGGCACATTGCAAACGCGGCACGGCTGTAGCTCAGCTATCTCAAGGGATGACTTGTCCTCAGAAATGGACATTTTATTTATTTTAAATTAAAATGAATCTTCCTTGCTCTATTCGTATTCGATCCCGTTGCCGTTATGGCTGCGCTTGTTTGGCTGTTGTTTATACACAATTTTGTTTGTCAGTTCTAATTGGTGGCGCTGCCAGATCGTCTCGATAGACAAAAGTCAGCTGATTTGGGACAGTATGACCGTACGGCAGACAGCATATGCAAGAATTTTCGCTGCCATGCCGGTCAAGTCCTAGGGGGTTCAACCTGGCCAACTGAAGCAATTAAGGAAAACTGCATTTTGTCAGTGAGAAAGCAAAGGAATTTGTGCGCAGCACTTCATAAACATAAAAATGAGCATGGCGCCAGTTCCAGTCATACAATTAATTCGCTTAAATACACCACGTGCTTCCCTCAACACACTGGCCAACCGATTGCGGCGCACATTTGCATTGGGTAATCAGTCGCCGACGTCGTCGCCTCTACATATCCGTTCGCTTACTACGGCTGCTGGAATCCACACAATTAAAGTGCAGGCTGCTAGCGCAGGCAAGAGATGCTATAGTAATGCCAGTAAGTAGTTTTTATTGTCTGTTTTTTTTTATTTTTTGTATTTTTTTGCGCCCTGACCCAATTGATTACTCAACACTTTTACGCAGAAGAGCCACCGACTGGAGCAGCGACAGAGGCAGCGTCGCCATTGCTCTCCAAACTCTTTCCACAAACTTCGCCCGATGTCGACAGCACTGCCGAACAGGAGCGTAAGAAGCGTGAGGAGGATGAGGCCAAGGAGAATGAGCGCGCGTGGAAGCGCATGAAACTGGGGTGAGAATCACCAACACATTCCAACCTGCTGAAGCCTAAGGCAACAAATTTACATATTCTCTGTCCATTAGCTTTGCCATTTTTGGCGGAGGCGGCATTGCCACTATACTGTGGGGCGTTTATAAGTTTGGACAGCCCGAAGTGGATTCTGAGGGTCAGATCATTGAGGATGAGTTCATAGACAAGCCGCTGGTGCAGCAGTATTTGCAGCGCATGTGGAAATCATTGCACTACTATCAGAAGATGATTCAGGAACCGTCGCGTGCTAAGCTCTTGCCAGATCCGCTCAAGCATCCGTATGTACAGCCGCGCTATACGCTCGTGCTGGAGATGAAGGATGTGCTTGTGCATCCAGATTGGACATATAAGACTGGATGGCGCTTCAAGAAGCGTCCCGGCGTCGATAGTTTCTTGCAGGAGTGCGCCAAAGACTTTGAGATTGTCGTTTTCACTGCCGAACAGGGTATGACAGTATTTCCGATATTGGATGCCCTCGACCCCAACGGCTACATTATGTACCGTCTGGTGCGCGATGCCACTCACTTTATCGATGGGCATCATGTCAAAAATCTGGACAATTTAAATCGTGACCTGAAACGCGTAAGTCTCGCCATTGATTACCTAAAGATTATTCAAATCCTCAACAGATTTGGATGCGTTTCAGGTGATTGTTGTTGACTGGGATAGAAATGCCACCCAAATGCATCCCGACAATACTTTTGGCATCGCGCGCTGGCATGGAAATGACGATGATTCCCAACTATTTGATTTGATAGCCTTTCTGAAGAGTGAGTCACATATGAATACATTAATATTTAATTGCAGACTTAATTTATCCGAAAATCAACTTTCTGTCTTGCAGCCATTGCGCAAAATGAGGTGGACGATGTGCGAGAAGTTCTACATTATTATCGTCAGTTTGCGGATCCTATTAGTCAGTTCAGGGAAAATCAGCGTAAATTGGCAGAACAGTTGCAGGAAGCTGAGCGCATCGAACAGGCGAAGACTAAGCCGATTGTCAAACAATGGTCACGCAGCATTCTGGGCCGCTAGCTGATGTTCCATTGATGCTGCTATTTCCGTCGCTGATCGCACCACGCTAACCCACGCAAGAGCCATAGTCTTTATTTCTGAAGCAGCTTTACCCAGTTACAAACTACATACATATACAAAAATCCCAAAATCCCACTCCTTATGTTTTAGTGAAGGGCATGGCCATAATATAAGAAAGGCATCAACGAAAATCCCAATCCCAGAGCTGCTCGAACAATAGAAATGTGAAAATTGTTCTATGTAAGCAAAATGCACTATATTCTTTTATAGAAAAAAAACAAAACAAAACAAAAACAACACAAAAAGTAATTAGCTGTTGTTTTATTCGTATCTTTTTTTTTGCCTTCGCTAGTTTTATTTTATTTTTACTTTTTGTTTTGGCAATGTAATTATCTTAAAATTCTTATATTAATAAAATTAATTAAAATACATGCGTCATATGTTCCTAATTCAGTGTAATTCTAGAAAACTTTCACATTATTTCATAAGACATTTATTATACATATTATTATTGCGCATTTAACAAATAATTTGCGTTTGCTTTTAAAATATTTCAAGCTTGGCGCGCAATTTTGTTCTATACGAATGAAAAACAGATATGTGTTTATTTGTATCGATAATTTTTCTGAACCAAAGAAAGCAAATATTTGAATTTTGGCGGGTTCTTTGTCTAGCGTCCTTTAAGCATGCTATAAGTGTATATATGCATATATATATATATGTTTACATTTAAATATGTGTGGTCTGTACTCCACTCCAGAGTGGAGGAGCATGCGCTATGTGTATTTTCCTTCTGTAAATGTCAAAGTTGAACTCTATATTGCAGGATACAACAGATTACAGGCAACATAGACAGGGGAAAGCACAAGTATGCGCGTTTGTTTGTAGACTTGTTTCCGCAGAAACGACGCAACAACGCCATCAACTTATGTTTGATCCAATAGAGTTCCCGCTGCTTCTTATTGTATAAGACTTAATACAAATGCGTGTATGTATGTATGTACATATGTAGATAGCAATACAAGTAATTCATTACCTAGTCAGTTTTTGCACAAGCACATACATAAACATATATGTATGTACATATGTATGTATGCACATTTCTAGGTGGGATGCTTGGCAGTCCAGCGCGACCTTTACGTCAGTTGTTTGCCCCAAGCCATCAACAACCCCCCTTTTGAAATAGACGCCATCGGGAATGATTTGTTCTCCTTCCGTGTATATTGTATGTATCTCGCTCTGTTTCTCTGCCTTATGATAAACAAGGACGCCGACACCTGTGTTAGCCGTAAGCGTGAATGACATTTAATAGCAAAATCTAATTTGCAAACCTCTTTCGTGAATTTCCATTGCCTACGGACACCAACCATCCAACATCGAGACAAGCATCTGTGGCAGCACCAACTCAGCTTCGTGCTTGTTCGTGTTCCTTACTTTCAGCCTCGATCAACAACAAGCCAAGAAGGACATGGGGTCCTTCACAACGCGTCGAGCGCTCGGCCGACATGGTTGATTGTGAAATGAAGAGCCGCTGTGCACAATTTTCGAGCTTACTCTCTGCTCTGCTCTCTCAAACAGGAACATATGCATGTCTGCACGTATGTGAATGTGCGCACAAGTAGCGGTGTACAAAAATTTAAATGTTTGCACTTACAGGTCCGAGGCTTCTCTTCACAGAGAAAAGTATAGCAAAATCATGAAAGCGTTTGTCACGCTCATGAAACATTTTAATCTTTCAATGGTAACTTATCTGATGGGAATAGATTTAAATACATACATACATATGTATTTGTAATAATGTCAACAATATGTATACATATGAATGTACATATGTAAATGCACCTGCAGACTTGATTTATTTCATACATATGTATGTATGTAAAAGTAAATGCATCGCGTAATGATTATTAGACTGTTGATCAAGCCTGAAAGTAAGAGACTTGAATTGAGTGCGGTCGTGACGCACATATTTTAAGTGCTGAAGAAGTCATTTCTCGATGTCTGTATGTATGTATATGCTGGCTATAATTCAAACACAAGTGAGAGCGTTTTGCTTACGTTCAGATACCTTCTCGCACGTTTTTTTTTGTTTTGATCAAACGTTTCGGGCGTTCTGCGAAACATTAGCCAACAGTCGTTATCAATATGTAGAAACACATAACAGATAAATGTATTATGAGAATAAAAATTAATTAAATATGTACATATATATATTTATATATCTATATAAAATTGTATGTAGCTAATAACTAGTTTTAATATATTATGCTGCCAATAGGCAAATATATATATATATATAAATATGAAATAAAAATCTTTTCTCGAAATGTGATAAAACTAAACTTAGTATTTTAAGTTTTATACATTTCATTACTAAATTTATTAAAAAAAAAAAAAAAAAAAAAGTTAATTAATATTTTACGTACGAATTATATTGCTAACGTTATAGCTGTATTTTCTGGAATACCCCATGCGTTCCTTCATTCTCTCACTCTCTCTCTCTCTCTTCTTTCTGTACATCAGCTTGTTGGCGCTTCTGCTGCTGCTGCAGCTTTTCAGCTGGTTGTGTTTCGTTTTCGTTTTTAGTTCAAAAGCGAACGCGGACGTGAGTCGGTCGTCGCAGCCGTCGCTCGCAACGCCTACGCTTTCGTTCCCTGTGTGCGTTTTGTGATTGCAAAAAGCAGCAGCAGCAAGAGGCAAGAAAACTTAATAAAAACAAATTTTCTTCTCGCGTGTGTGGATTTTTGCTAAGCAGCGCGTTAAAAACAGTTTTGTTGTAAACAAGTTGTTGTCATTTTTATTTCATTTTCTTGTCTTCTATTTATTTTGTTGATATCGATGGTATACATATACATATATTGTTTTTAATCGCGCACAGCTGCTGGCAATATATATGTGAGTTCTCTAAATATGCATCAGTAGTATGTTTTTTGTTTTGTTTTTCCTGTGATGTGTGTTATAATTGTAAAATTGTTGTAATCAAATTAACGAAATACGCAAAACAGTAAGGATAACGGAATAATGTGTGATGCAGTGTGCTGATGGGTGGGTGGTTGTTTGGCTGTGAGCACGTAAACGTAAATGCGTAAGCTCAGACCCTGGACTCGAGCTTTGCTCTCTCCAGCTCCCAAGGTTTCTATCTCAGCACCAACACCAACACCAGCACCAACAACAACAACAGCAACAAACTACTAAAAGGCATGCAACACCAGCACACACACACACACACACACAAACTTGTGTCGTGCGTATATATGTATATGCAATACACGTGCGTACATATGCACTACTCATGCGTATGTATGCGTGCGCGCGTACACGTACATGCATAAATACATACATACATACATACAGTGTGTGTGTGTGTGTGTGTGATAAGAATTTTCTACTAGATTATGGCATTTAAATTTTCTGCTTTCGGCTTAGCTTTTCCAGTCCAATATGGTTTTTCACGGTTTTCTTTGCGTGACTAGACGACCTCACACATTTTCGTGTGATTTGATTTAAGCTCCCAAAACGAGGCACAGCTGAAATTTAATGTTTTGCGGCTCCCAGTTGTATCATTGAAATGTTCTCTTGTGCTTGTGATTTTTTTTTTGTTCTTTTTTTTAATTCTTTTTCGTCCGTTGATGATAGTCATACTCGCTCGCGAAACGCGTAGCAGAGTATATTGGTGCATCCACTTAGCCGTCATTATTTATACAGCTATTACTTTATACAGCTTTCAAGCTCCATTAAACAATGATTTAGCTCAATTAGAAAATTGTAATAATAATAATAAATAAATAATAAAATAATTTGTCTGTTTTGTCACAACTGAGCAACTGTTTTGCAGAAATTTGCGACTGACTAAAGCGTTCTATACTTGATTTTGGTTTTTTGTTTTGTTTTTGTCTTGTTGTGGTTGGCTGCTTTGAGCCTAGGGCTAAATTATGTATATTGAGTGCGTACGCTTGGACCATCACCATGGTTGTTGTTATTGGCCGCTTCTGCTGCTGCTTCTGTTGTTGTTATATTTATAAATTATTAATAAACATAAAGCGCGCCACAGGTGTGCACAGAGAGCGAGCGCTCGACCTCTGCGAGTAACACTCGTATACGTAATTGTATTTGCGTGCCTTTGCCTCCTCTATCTCTTATTAGTGACTGTGCGTCTCTGAGTACGTGTGTATGTGTGTGTGTGAGAGTGTCAACGCTTGTCCACTTTCTGTTGGTTTTCGTTGCTGCTGCATGCGCCGTTAACCTTTGCATTGCCTTTACCACCACCGTCGTTATGGCTGTGCTTGTGTGTGTATGTGTGCAAATTCGGCTTCGCTCTTGCATATACGCACACTTATGCAAGGAGTGCGAAATGCAACAGCGAAGAGCACAGCTAATGATCACCCATACATATAAGACAACTCTCTTTCTGCAGCTTCTTCGTCTTCCTCCTTATTGACAGTAAGCTGAGTTACTGATACTCCAGCACTCTCGCTCTTTGGCGCTGTCTCTCTCTGTCACACACACTCTCATTCATTATTTTACTTCCGGGCCTTTCACATTCAATTATTTCTGCCTGAATAGTCGGCATAGCGGCAACTCAACGCTTAATACCGTTTGCGCTTTTTGGGGTTTTCTTCATTTCTGTTGTTGTTATGTATTTTTTACATTTGCTTGCGTCCAATTACTGTGGCAATTTATTCATCAAGCAGCAAAGCGTGCAAACAATAACATAATCAGGCATTAAAAACGGGGCCCAGCATCAAGTTTGTAATTTTTTGCGCTTTTACCACTTCTGCTTTTCCATTCTGTCCTGCGACTCTGTGTGTGTGTGTGTGTGTGTGTGTGTGTGTGTGTGTGTGTGTGTGTGTGTGTGTGTGTGTGTGTATGTAAGCGCACTACGTGCATTTTCATATTGTTGTTTGTTTCGTTTCACCGTTGCTATGCACACTTTGTTGCTGTCACACACCTTATAATATTCGCAGTTTTATTTGCTGCTGTTGCTGTTTTTGCTGTTACTGCTGCTGCCTCCCAAATTTCCTGCTGCGAACTCTTCCAACCCGCTTGACACACACTTGATCGTCACAAAACAAACTGTAGAATGACAGACAGGCTATAAACACGACCCGCTCTCATGTTACGTGCAAAGTGCACAGATTTATACACGGCAAAAATAACTAGTATATTTATATGTACGTATGCCTATTTGTCTGTCCGTCTGTATGTCTGCTGGTCTGTCTATCTGTGCACATATTTATTTACTCAATTTTGTTATTCTCCTTTATAACGGGGCATAATCAGACAAACATCTGTTCTGATATCTGCTAAGATATTTTTTGAATTCTCTCTCTTTGTAGCACGAAAATAAGATTTCTTATCTCTCATGTATATCAATTACATTATATAAATCTTCTATGGCTATGAAAGATTTACCTCTTTTATTGAAGGGCAATTTAGTAAACAAAATGAAAAGAATAGACTAATTCCTTGATGTACAGAAAAACCTCTTCATCATCTAATCATACTCGCATTTTTATAACATTTTATAACAGAGACTTTAAAGTTTATTGTATAAATGAAACTCACTAATTAAATATTGACATTCAGTTAACAAAAATTACTGAAAATATGCTTAGCTGAGATATTGTATCTAACTTAGAGCACATATCAGTTAAAGGACTGTAAAGAACTTATATTAAGTTGTCATCCATGTTCGATTCCCATGAATCTTGAGATCTATTACGAAATGCTCTATATGTATGTATATACATATTGTGTATGAATGCGTGTATATATAGGTTCTGTGTATCTATTTTCCTCCCTAATGCCTTCTACCATTCAAACGCTGTCGCTTTCGTTGTCCCTCATAATTATTGATTACTGCTTTTGTGCCTCCTTTCAGTGGGCACACGTCCAACACATGATGTTTGCAGCTGGGGCGGGCTTCGGCATGGGCGTGGGCATGATGGACAGTTATATTATGTGGGTGCTCGAAAGCCAGTGGTAAAGGCAAAGGCAGCGGCAAAAGCAATGGCAATGGCAAAGGGAAATGCAAAGCAATACAACATTGTCAATCATGAAATGTCCATTAATTAAGTTCCAATTGGCAGAGACAGCCGTAAAGTGGCCTGCAGGCAAGGCCAAGTCCATTAGGTGACTAGGCCTGAATATCGATACGTTTATATGTTCATATATGATACACTTGCAAGGCTCTATAAACATTTTAAATGCTGAGCAAATCACAATGTCAATAATAAATAACATAGTGCAGATATGCCAGCAATACCTTAGGCCTTGAGAATAACATAATCCAGTTATTCAAGCATTACACTATACCATTCCGCTATATTCACATCAGTTTGGAAGAGATTTGAACTTGAATATACTCAGAATTGTTTGGATACTTTTTATAGAATGTCAAAGGTATCATTCTATTAATAATAAAAGATAATACAATTTATGCAAATTTCGGATTACCTAATCCGGGCTCAATATGTCGAAAATCCTCGAAAATTTATAGTCTAACTCTGTTGATTGAAATGAAAAATATTGTGATGGGTTTGTTCGAATTTCTGATTATTTATTGGATTTAATATGTCAAAATAGAAAATATACAATAAATACTCTGATTCGATTAATTGAAATGAAATAAAAAGATACAACATAATGGATTTATGCGAATTTCTGTATTTTTTTTCTTTTTTAAATCGAGCTCAGCATGTCAAAAACATTTAAATATATGAAATATATGAAAATATAAGGAGATGGGTTTATTTCAACTTTAGAGTACTTTAGTTGTAGCAGCATATAGAAACTCCTTTGGAAGTTATAATCTGATTCTATCAATTTAACCTCTGCTGGGTTTATTATAAGTTTCTAATACCTGATATCGCCTCTGGAAGACATGACAAGAGCATTCTAAATGCAATACCTTATGAATTTCCAGTTGAAAGTCCATCCAATATTTCATTTCAAGTGCAGAAATTATCAGGCATAATACAATGAAGCGATAAAGAGTATATTACAACTTTATATATGTACGCTCATAAAGGAGCTGTGGATCAGTGGAAAGGTGGGGCCCATGAGCACGTCCCCAAAGCCAACGGTTTCATATTACATTCACAGACATGATGCCACGCCTCAGACTCTGGGTATAGCTGAAAATGAATAATTTATTATCTATTTAGCTATAGATAAACTAGTTCATGTAGTGACTAGATATGTGTATAATCTAAAAATAGATCGTATATCGTTAATCTCTTGGTACTTCGTAATCTTTATAGCGCCGTCAATGGGAATTGCTTTTGACTTTACCTCGTACTTGGTATTGAGAAATGAGTCAAGTGCAACCTTTGCTTAGACATTGACCGAAAAATGGAATATAATAAAAAGCGACAAACGCGTATTAGGGCTACGACCTTACGGTATCAAAGGTTAAGTTTACTTTAACCGTTTCCAGTTTCCAGTTTGCAATCTCGAAACACTTATTTCACTAATATTTCAGGTATTTCAATTGTCTAGACCGTAAGTCATCCCATTAATCGCAATCGTTGTTTACGGTTTTATCTTTATTGCCCCGCACTCAGCGGGACCATTAACTGCATAGCTAAGCATTTGGCTCAAATTGTGAATTATCACGGCGATCAACATGTAATGATGTCGTACTCGTCAGCGGATCGATTACATTATTAAAGCGAAGCAAAACATATGTGCAACAAGTGGCTTAGACATGGATCAGTCATGGCAATAACTGTGACAGTTACTGCATATGGGTAAAAACACAACAAGCATATAATAGATGGAATAAATTAGTCAGAGAGAAACTCATTCAATGCCTGTCTATTTGTATATTCATATGTACATCGATAAGTTATCGATAACCTGTGAGCATCGAAATGACTTGAGCATGCTCATTGTGGCCCTTGGCCATTTGGGGCATTAAGCATATAGGGTATCTGCTAATCGGCCACTCCCAATTTCGAGTACTCTTACTGGCTTTCTTTGTTTATCGAGTAGGTCAAGCGGTGACAGCCACAACCACGGGCAGGTGGAGGGGGAGAGGCCAGGGCAGCTTACGGGGCTCGGTTCTCGGTTCTCTTTGTTTTTGTACTGTTGTCGGTAGTCAACAATAAATCCAATTAGCAAAGCGGTTCAAGGTAACAGAAAAAAAAGAAATACAAAAATTATGCACGATAAACCAAATTCACTTCAAGTGATGCTCTTGCCATACCCTGTATGGAAATTGTATTTTCAGGCCAATGGGTGTAATGAGTTGAAAAGGAATTTGCATATATTTAATAAAATATTATTTATATAGAAGAAGAAGAAGATAATTTATATACGTATAAATAATGAAGAGAAATGTTGAAAATTTAAAGAGAATTAAAAATTAACTTTTTTGCTAATACAGCATATCTGCAAGTCGAGCAGTTTTAACTACTTTGTGTATGCCCTGTAGATTAATGAAATGTTCTAGCAATTAGTTACAAGGAAGTGAAATGGAATTGATAACTAATTAATGTAGAAGTTGTTTATGGATTTAAAAATTTTGTCAAATTTACATTTATAATTGGAGCAAAAATAATAAATAAAATTGAAATATAAGACTTGCAAAGCCCGAGATATTTATTGAGTCGATATTGTCGTACAGCATATCTGCAAGTCGAGCAGCTTTCACACATTTTCTTTTGGCTTTCCATAATACACTGTGAGCTGAGCCACGAGGTGACCTTTTCATAGATTTTCAATTCCCATTTTCATTGTGCTTCGTTAGCTCTGATAGACAGCGCAAAGTGTTCCGTGTGACAGCCAGAGATTGTCCGAGTGCTGGGACATTTAGCTTGCTCTCCTTGGGCGACGGCCGGTGGTACAGTGGGGCGAAATGAATGGTAGTTTGCATTTTAGAGCGCACATATTGCTGCACATTACACGGAAGCCATAGCAATTAGCTAAGGCAATGGCCACACATACACAACATGGTGGACCCCTAGGGCCGCAACGCCTGGCAGCCCCCAGGCCAAAATTGTAATCCAACCTTGCCACATTTTCAGGTCATAGACGCCAGCAACGCCTCAGCCATGCGCAGCACAAACACCACTGGCAACAACAATAGCCAACATAATAATAATAGCAACAGCAGCTTTAACAACAACAACAACAACAGCAACAACAGCGACCGATGATTGCCTGAAGCGAACAAAAATCCATCAGAAAGCGACAGAAAGCCTGCTTAGGCGAGAGAAGTTCAGAAGAATTAAAACCCGCCGTAATACACCAAAGACGCTGACCAAAAAGCATAAAAACATAAATAAATAACAACAAATTATATAGGCAACAAACAAATATATATAACCTGCAAACATGTTGATCAAAGAGTACCGTATACCACTGCCCCTCACCGTCGAGGAGTACCGGATTGCCCAGCTGTATATGATAGCGGTAAGTTGATAGGGCTTAACTCTATCTATAGAGAGCATTATGAAGATTGATGATAGCTGATAATTTGATCTTTCGTAGATGCGGAAGAAAATCCAATATAATTAGTCCTATTATTGATATTAACACTAATCAACTGTATATGATATTAGTATTATCATTATAGGTATACATATATATTAATATTGCTATTATTAGTATTAGTTTTCTTATGATATTTATTCGTATTTCGGAATTTATATTATTATTAGCATTTTTAGTATTAAATATATTAGTATTAGCATAGTTCATATATTCATCTATACTAGATGCGGAAAAAATCCATTACAATGAGTATTATTATAATAATATAAAATATGCATTAGTATTCTTATTATTATAGGTATATATATTAGCATTATTATTATTATTATTGCTTAAAATTTTTTGTTAGTATAATTTTTACATATATTAGTTAGTATTATTATTAGTCTTGGAATAGATATTTCCAATAGAATTAGCACTAGCATTTCCTAATACTAAAAGTATCATTAGTACCTATTCAAACGGTATTAAAGTGATTAGTATAATATTTATATAAGATTTTACAATTTCGGATTGACATTATTAATTTCCTGTATTTCCCTTCTTACAGAAAAAGAGCCGAGAGGAAAGCCATGGCGAAGGCAGCGGAGTTGAAATCATAATCAATGAGCCCTACAAAGATGGACCCGGAGGCAATGGGCAGTACACGAAAAAGATTTATCACGTGGGCAGTCACTTGCCGGGCTGGATAAAAAGTAAGTGGACTTAGAGAGATTTCCTGTGAACGAGTAGACAGAGATAGCTATATATATTTGAGAACATATATACATAAACTAAAAATATAATATAGTCTAGAGCATATATGTATATACATATATTCTATAATATCTATACACAGAACCATGTGCTGTGTCCTGTCTCAGTAACTAATAGAGCTTGAATCGTTGTCAGCTAATCAATCGATAATCGATAATCCTTATTGATTTGCAAGTTACCCCCTAGACTATGTCTAATTATATCTGTTTACTATTTGAAAAGTCAAGAAATATAATAGAAATAAAGTAATTTTCATATAGAACCAGTTGTGAAATAATATTTCCTATAATTTCCCTAGGCTTATTACCAAAGAGCGCTTTGACCGTTGAGGAGGAGGCATGGAATGCCTATCCGTATACGCGCACACGCTACACCTGTCCCTTTGTGGAGAAATTCTCACTGGATATCGAGACCTATTACCATCCGGACAATGGGTACCAGGATAATGTATTCCAGCTATCGGGCAGCGATCTGCGCAATCGCGTTGTGGGTGAGTCTCTCAAATCGAATTGTGATTGAGAAATTTTGATTTATTGACATTACTGCTTCTTCATCTTCCTGTATTCCGGAAAGATGTGATTGATATTGTCAAGGATCAGCTGTGGGGCGGCGATTACGTGAAGGAGGAGGATCCCAAGTATTTTGTATCAGAGAAGACGGGCCGTGGCCCGCTGGGCGATGATTGGCTGGAGGAGTACTGGCGCGAGGTGAAGGGCAAGAAGCAGCCGACGTCCCGCAATATGTCCCTGATGACGGCCTATAAGATCTGTCGCGTCGAATTCCGCTATTGGGGCATGCAGACCAAGCTGGAGAAGTTCATACACGATGTGGCGCTGCGGAAGACAATGCTGCGGGCCCATCGCCAGGCCTGGGCGTGGCAAGACGAATGGCACGGCCTCACCATTGAGGACATACGCGAGCTGGAGCGCCAGACGCAGCTGGCTCTAGCTAAGAAAATGGGCGGAGGGGAGGAGTGCAGCGATGGTAAGCAGAGACCTTCGATGACATTATCGAGCAGTCGTGCTAATATCTCGATTATTCCATCTTTGCGACCCACAGACAGCACCTCGGAGCCATATATGAGCAGCGCCACCGCAGCCCCCGCATCGGGCACGAGTGAGCGCAATAAATCAGCGCCGGCTGTGCCGCCCATTGTCACCCAGCAGCCGCCGAGCGCCGAAGCCAGTTCAGATGAGGACGATGAGGACGACGATGACGAGGATGAGGATGGCGTCGGCACCAATGTGGAGCTGGGTGCCCAGACCAGTGGCAATCAACGTTCCCGCTCCCAAAGCATTCAGCTGGCCAACAAGGCCAAGTTCGGCTCGAAGGGCGCCCTGCATTCGCCCGTGGGATCTGCGCACAGCTTTGACCTGCAGGTGAGCAAGGCGCCATCGCAGCTGTCCACATCTATTCAACTGATGCTGCACTCGCAGAGCAGAGCTACTGTTCATTGTCCCATCCAGTGCATAGACTCCATTGTCCTCTCACATTTGTTTTTGGGATCTATGCCCATCCTCGATTGCATGGCAACAGATTTTTGTTGTCCCCAAAACATCTCATTTGTCTATAAACATCGTCCACCCAATGCCAAGTCTGCAGTTGAAATGCTCTATATATATATATTTTCATAATGAAGCACAATTATCAGTTATTTTATCACCTGTTTCGTTGCTTATTAAACTGATAAACAAATGGAGTTTGCATTGAATTCAAATTTTGAGTTTATTGGCTTTATGATTAGTGCAAATATTGAAATGCAAATTCGATCTACATATGTATGTATATGTGTGTTTCTTTGTTTCCTCTAACTCTCTGTGTGTGCGTGTATGTGTGTGTGTGTTTGTGTGTGTGTGATTCACCATATAAATAATCTTTGATTTGCTCTTGTCATACAAAATCAAATCCAATCAACAACCACCACAAAACACTCAACACCGAAAACCGAATACCGAATACCGATTAAATGATATATGAAACGTAACCGACCCGATATTGAGCAGTCGAAAAAAGCGCATGGCAAGCCAGCAGTACGCCGTCATGTAAGTTGCGATCCAGCTCCAGCATTTAGGACCCTAGTTGACCACAATTACCGTATGAGGGCAGCTCAACTCCAGAGTTTCCGGTTGGGCAATTATTAATGATTACCGTTTGTGGTTTCCTAGGTGGCCAACTGGCGCATGGAACGTCTGGAAGTGGACTCCAAATCGAACTCGGATGAAGAGTTCTTCGATTGCTTGGGTGAGTCGTTCGATCTCGATCTCGATCTCCCGGCTCTCTATGCAGCTTCGATTAATGCTCGCACTTTGCAGACACAAATGAGACCAACTCGCTGGCCAAGTGGAGCTCACTGGAGCTGTTGGGCGAGGGCGACGACAGTCCGCCACCGCATGGCGGCAGCTCCAGTGGCAGCGGTGGTGCTGGCAGCGTGGCCGGGCGCCACAAGCAGGATGACAGCATATTCAATCAGGACTTTCTGATGCGCGTCGCATCGGAGCGCGGCAATAAGCGTCAGCTGCGCTCCTCGGCCAGCATCGATCGCAGTCACGACTCGTCGCCGCCGGGCTCGCCGAGCACGCCCTCTTGCCCCACAACCATACTGATGCTGGTGGTGCACGCCGGCAGCGTTCTGGATGCGGCCAGTGAGCTGACCGCCAAGAAGTCGGATGTGACCACCTTTAAGGGCTCCTTCGAGGCCGTCATGCGCCAGCACTATCCCAGCCTCTTGACGCACTTGACTATTAAGATGGTGCCATGCCCTTCGATTTGCACGGATGCCCTGGGCATACTGTCGAGCCTCAGTCCGTATTCGTTTGACGCGTCGCCCTCGGCCGCGGACATACCCAATATAGCGGATGTGCCCATCGGAGCCATACCGCTGCTGGCCGTGGCCTCGCCCGAATTCCAGGAGACGGTGAACAAGACGGTGGCCGCTGCCAATATTGTCTATCATGAGTTCCTTAAGTCGGAGGAGGGCCACGGCTTCTCGGGCCAGGTGGTCATGCTGGGCGACTCCATGGGCTCACTGCTGGCCTATGAGGCTCTCTGTCGCTCCAACGGCAGCCAGCCGAATGCCGGCAATCCGTCGCAGGCCGCCGGCCACAGCCAAGCCGGCGGCGCTGGCACTGGCGCTGGCGATTGTAGTCGCATGTCGCGCATGGATGACGATGAGCGCTTCATTGACTCCGACTTGGATGCGAAACGTTTGCTGGTGGCACCATCGCCGCGACGTCGTCGCTCCAGCTCCTCCAGCGATTCGCGTGCCACCAAGCTGGACTTTGAGGTCAGCGACTTTTTCATGTTCGGCTCACCGCTGTCGGTGGTCCTGGCCGCACGGAAGCTGCACGACTCAAAGACCGCCCTGGCCCGCCCCAATTGCCATCAGGTGTACAATCTGTTCCATCCAACCGACCCGATTGCCTCACGCTTGGAGCCCCTGCTGAGTGCACGCTTCTCCATTTTGTCGCCGGTGAATGTGCCGCGCTATGCTAAATATCCGCTGGGCAATGGACAGCCGTTGCATTTATGTGAGTAGACTCTCCCTCTCCCTCTCCCTCTCTCTCTCTTTGTCACATGAATTACAGTAACACATGATGTGTGTCTCTCTCTCTCTCTCTCTTTTTATCTTACATCGCTCTCTCGTTCCTTTTGATGCAGTGGAGGTAATACAATCGCATCCGCAGCACTTTAACGACGGCAATAATTTGCTCTCTGCGGGCCGACGACTCTCCGATGCATCCATGCAGAGCACCATCTCGGGCCTCATTGAGAATGTCTCGCTCAGCACCATACACTCGCGTAAGTCCAAGTTCTTTAATGATCCTCCAATCTCTCCAACTGATTTCAACCACATTCGCATTGCAGTTCAGAACAAATGGTGGGGCACAAAGCGTTTGGATTACGCTCTTTATTGTCCCGAGGGGCTGAGCAATTTCCCGGCACATGCCCTGCCGCATCTATTCCATGCCAGCTATTGGGAGAGTCCCGATGTGATTGCCTTCATATTGCGGCAAATTGGCAAATTCGAGGGCATACCGTTTGTGGGCTCCCACGATGACAAGGACAACGCTTCGTTCCATCCGGGGCAGCCGCGTGAGAAGTGGATCAAGAAGCGCACGTCCGTCAAGCTCAAGAATGTGGCGGCCAATCATCGGGCCAACGATGTCATCGTGCAGGAGGGACGGGAGCAGCGATTGAATGCACGATTCATGTACGGACCGCTGGACATGATCACGCTGCACGGCGAGAAGGTGGACGTGCACATTATGAAGGACCCGCCGGCGGGCGAATGGACATTCCTCAGCACCGAAGTGACCGATAAAAATGGCCGCATCTCGTACACCATTCCCGATCATTTGTCTCTCGGCTATGGCATCTATCCGGTCAAGATGGTGGTGCGCGGCGATCACACGTCTGTGGACTGCTATATGGCTGTGGTGCCGCCGTTGACCGAGTGTGTTGTGTTTAGCATTGACGGCTCCTTCACGGCATCCATGTCGGTGACTGGGCGTGATCCGAAGGTGCGCGCTGGCGCCGTCGATGTCTGCCGCCATTGGCAGGAGCTGGGCTATCTGCTAATCTACATTACCGGACGGCCGGACATGCAGCAGCAGCGCGTCGTCTCCTGGCTCAGCCAGCACAATTTTCCCCACGGCCTGATTTCGTTCGCCGACGGCCTATCCACCGATCCGTTGGGCCACAAGACCGCCTATCTCAATAATCTCGTGCAGAACCATGGAATCTCAATTACCGCCGCTTACGGCAGCAGCAAGGATATTAGCGTGTACACCAATGTGGGCATGCGGCCGGAACAGATCTTCATTGTGGGCAAGGTATCCGAACTCCTACCGATCTCTCTTCCTACCTATATAGTAAGATACTAATAATATCCCATCTGCCCAACAGGTGGGCAAGAAACTGCAATCGAATGCCACGGTGCTCAGCGAGGGCTATGCCGCCCACTTGGCTGGCCTGCAGGCCGTCGGTGGCTCCCGTCCGGCTAAGGGCAATGCGCGTATGGTCATTCCGCGCGGCTGCTTCAATCTGCCGGGACAGTCGGCAAATCCGCGACGCAGAAGGTAGGTGCTCCCTTCCTGTTGCTCCATGTTGCAGGCCCTCGATGGCGGGTGAGACGAGACTCCCTGCTGCACTGGCCGAGTCTTGTGTCATCTCTCAATGTAGTAAATTGTACATATGTATGTGTATGTGTATGTGTTAGTCCTAATCGGCGAAAATCATTCTAGAAACTCTAATTGTATTCTAAGTATTTGGTGTTTTGTGCATCTTTATTTTTGTATTATTATAATTTTAAGTTGTTTGTTAACTACTTTGTTTGCTTACGCCTATGTTTGATTGTTTACTTTAAATGTTGTCTTATGTTTGAGCCGCCGAGACGGCGCATGCTCAGCCCGTCATCCGTCCGGTGCTGACCTAACCGTATACATATTTCTAAGTGTGTGTCCTGTACAACAATAACGCCTTCGTCCTGGCCATGTGAAAAGTCGTTTGTAACTCAGCTAACTATATTCGAGCCAAGCTCTATCTGTCTCTCTCTCTCACGCACACCGCGGAGTCACTTAATCATGCCTCATATCTCCTTCCAAATGCCTTCCACCATCCACCCACTATCCATCGATGATTTCAATGATCAGCAATGCGTTCGAGGTGCCACAGCTCCCTGGCACGCCCATCAGCAACAGCCTTGGCCAGCTGAACGAGGGCAAAGAGTGGGACTGGAGTGACTCTGCAGCTGTAACACCCGATACCTGATACTTGACATCACCCCGCTGCCCCGCTGACCCTGACCAACCGTCCTAGACACAAAACTTTGCCTAGTCGACCAAAAGAAAATGAAAAGTGAAAATTATATTTTATTTTGTTATTAAGTTATTTGATAGTTGAAATGCCGTATTATCATATGCTAAGTTCTAGTATTATATTGTTCTTATTTTGATAAATGTGTATGAATATCTTTATATATATATATGTATTTATTAGTGCTTTTTATATTATATGATTTGGATTGATATTATTGTTATTGTAATTAATGCGAACAAAACTGAAAAAATCTGTTGAAGCACAAAATAAACCAGGGACGAAATCTAGCCAAAAAGCAACAAGCACACATACGTATACGTGTATTTAGACACAAATTATATATATCGCAAATATATATATGTACAATAAAAATGCTTAACTACCCATTTAGTATTTGTATACATACATACATATGTATATTTCATAGAATATAATTTCGAATTGTATCTTTTCTTTAATTGTTTCTTGATTTGTGATAAACAACGCTTAAACCGCTTACCGTCACACGTCACGCCCACCCGCTCGCCGTTGATGCGATCTGCACACACAAACACACACACACACAACACACACGTATACCAATACACACACACATACCACTCACTCGCTGTCTCGCACACATTCACCCACATACCCAATCCGATTATAATATATATATATTGTGAATGTGTGTATATCAATACAGGCTGCATGAACAAGCTACCAATGAAGTTTAAAAACGTTTACCAACACTGTAGATATGCAACACCGTGATGCATTAGATAAACCGTTATAAAACCAAACACAAGAAATTAAACAGAGACAAGAAAGAAGAAAAAAATCAAAGGAAAATACTAAATGCAAATTTGGTGTATAGTGTTCGTAAATTAATATATTTAGTTGAGTTGATCTGTTTGATATGCTTTTAATGCATTTTAGAGGAGCATTGTGTTATTCAGTGCTCTGGCTGCAAACAGAAATGAAAAGGAAAAGAAAAAATATAGTATTTATGCCTACAATTGGAAAAAACGCAATCAACTGAAATCTTTCTCAACTTTTCCTCTGTCTCTTTTTTCACAAAAAAAAAAAAAAAAAAAAAAATCCCTCTTTGTGAAACTTTATTTTACAAACATTTTCCCATTGAATCTACACAAAACCCCAACACACACACATACACACACACACGAACATGCCACAAATGCATCGTCAACTTGACATCGTTTCAAATGTGCAGCAATGAGACGGGCCTATCATCGCCGATACGCAGTGGCTATCTTAAACGCAAAACCTACCTGAGCCATCACTAGATCGATCCCAGCAGAGGAGCAACCTAACAGAGAGCGTCATAATAGACAAGCGATAGAGAGAGATAGCGAGAGCGTGAGCTTAGAGACAAATGTGTGCGTGATGAGTAATGCATTTTAGTTTATAGCATATCGATGTGCAAAACTATCGATTAATATAACGCAACCAGCAACTCCCACAAATACAAGCCATGCAACTAGCAATCAACTATATTTATAATAATAAATAAACCAGCATATACCTATCAAACAAAACGCTTCGTACATGTTTAGATGACATCTAAACATACTATTGGATCAGCATTAGTTGCAGTTTAACAACAACAACAATAGCAACAACAACATCTCAGCATCGATTGCCACCATATGCAACATCTGTGTATATACATAAAGCCCGTTATATTATGCGCAATATATAGCCAACTACATAGTATATGGTGTATATACAATATACAAGATACAAAATATATATATATATATATACATGAAAAATTCCAAAAATGATAAAAAAAAAAACTAAATCAATTGTACAACATATAACAAAAGTCAAATGTGTCACGCGGTAAGTAAATATCGATTGCAGCTAGCTGCAATTACCGTTATTTATAGTATGAAGTCAATCGATAGGAGAAAACTTTCTAGCTTGTTTATTCAAATGAGTTAAGATTTAATAAATATTAGAGTATTAGCATAGCTGGGATAGAGTCTCAAAATCGTTTATTATTCACCGCTAGCTTAGTTCAAGATATTTGGAAAATAAAGAAGAAAAATTAATAGTTATCGAACGAATCGAAAATTGGAGATCTAATTTTTCGACTGATGCTTATTTCAAGATCAATTCAGGGAGATATATACAATAGTAGAAATAACGAAATTTGTTAGTCATAAATCAACTGAAAATTCAATTCCTATATAGATAGATGAGTACGGATGATCGATTAGAAATGAGGATTGTTTTTTTTTTTTTTTTTTTAGAATTACAAATATGAACTCAAGGGAATAATATTTGTAAATGAAACGGATAAATACTGATACTAGTATTGCAAATAATTGGAGCTTTATCTTACAAATTTAGTTCAAATAGTTTTTTTTTTACTTTACCAGAACAAATGTACTCATATTGTATATAATTGAAAATATATAGTAATTGTAATTTCCTTTCATATCTATTTCTCAGGTACCTGGAAAGAAAGACTGTTTCCTCCTGTTGTTTGATGGTTTTTCAAACCACATAAAGAGTAAAAACAAAAACAAATCACACAAAATTAATGAAACAAAAAGGAAAAGAAAAAAATTAATGAACAGCTTATATATATACAAATAAATATGTATGTGTGGGCACCTATGTATATGTATGTAGTATGTGAGCTTATATGCTATAATTGTATAACAAAAAACAAAGTCAACCCATACATATATACATATATATTTAAACCGTTTAACATACATATGAAAATAATAATAATAATAAAAAAAAAAAAAGAGTAAACAAAACAAAGCGAACAAAGTTCAATAAATGTGGTATAAAAACATGAATGTTGATAACAATTGAAGCTAAGTACAACTTGCAGTTGGTAATACAAAGAGATCTCGCTCAGAGAACGGCTCTATGTAGCTCGCAGAGGTAAAAAGCGTTGCAAAATCAAACGACAAATTCAATGCATTTCCGAAACCAAACAAAACAAACAGTTTAAATAAATAAAATATATATTGAAATTGCTTCTGAAACAATTATTAATTACTCAACAAAGATTCTATTTCTATAAATAATTATATATAAATATATATATATATATATGTGTATGTGTAAAGCTAAAGAAAAAAGATGAAAAATATATTGAAATTGTTCCAAAATGCAAAGGAAAACAATCTGTTTCTAATTCGAGTCCTTGAGGAAACACATTAGAAATCTCTCTATAATTGTGATAGTTTTTCTCTACTGCAGCTTAAAAAAATTATTTAACAACTATGCAACATTAAAAACAAAACAAAAACACGAATATATAATATAAAAATAATATATATTTATAAAAAAAAAAAAAAAAAAAAACAAAATTAAAAATGTAAAAAACTATTTGGGAATGCGAATTCGTTAAAAGTTCAGTAGCTGTTAGTGTTATATCGTGAACCATACATATATGTATATATATACATATATATAAATAGTTGAGAGTAATGCATATATTTATGTGACATTATCCACCTTTAGGCCGGATGCAACAAGAAACAGACAGACAAACAAACAACCGACACTCATTTGTGATAAACAATAATTGAGTATATAGAATACGTTGATATTGATGACAGAATCTTCAAGTAATCCTACACTCAATGCTACCTGATGAAAAGCGAACCATATATATATATATATGTATATAGCACATATATACTTATGTATGCAATATATATATATATATGTATATATATATATATATATATATACACTTCGCGTCATCAGGTTAGCGCCCCCCTTACACTCATTTTCTTTTACGTTTTTCTCTTTGCCTATTGCACACAACTTCTTGGTTTTTTTTTTTTATTTCATTATCATCATATGAGATGTCTCTCATACCAAAAAAAACCGCGAGTGAAAACCCGTTATGTTTTATTTTCTATCCTTCTCTATTTTCGCAAAAAATGTGTGCACTTATTTTGCGTCATCAGATTAGCGCCCCCAAATGCAATTGTAAATATCTTGGTTATTTTGGCAATTACACTCACCAAATTTTTTGTGAAGCTCAAAGTATTCAATATATTTATAGTATGGGTAAAGAAACAGTTTTATCTTTGGTTGAAAATCAAAGATTGAGGCATACTTTGAATCTAGACTATGCAACCATTAAAATTGCTGAAAAATCAGGAAAAAACAGAAAACTAAGTGGCAATTTTCTTATAAATAGGGAAAACTATGGAAAAAACTATATAAGCGGCAATAATCAAGTGATTTCAGAAGGAAATAGAAGAGCATTAGTTCGAGAAGCTTCAAATTCCCACGAATCGACCACCAAGATTAGGGTTAAAATCAGTGTTAGGACGAGCTTATCAACGGTCTAAAGAGCAATTAAGAAAGTTAATTACTTAAAGAAACAGAATGTAAAAAAAAAGACACCAGTCGATATGCTGAGAAAAGAAATACGCATTAATTTTGGCCGGGCGAATATGACGTGGTCTACCCAATGGTAGCATGTTGTCTTTTCTGATGAGAAAAATTGAATTTGGAAGGAACTGATGGATATAATTATTATATCCATGACCTACTCATAGAAGAACATTATTTGGAACGGTTTCCAAGCCGCTGCGGCGGGGGGGTGGTGTGGCATTTGTGTAGGTATCAATATCTTACTACAGCACTTGCAAGCTTCAATTTTTGACATCGCGCATGAACGCATAGGACCATAATATCGTGTTTAAAACTGCTGTTCCGCATTTCTATAACCTGTCTGAAAACCGGCATTAGATTTTCCAGCATGATAATGCCCCAATTCAGACCGCCCGATCCCTGAAGTCCTGGATTCAGGGCCAAAAAATTGATCTCATGGAGTGGCCACCATACTCACTCGACCTTAATATCATTGGAAACGTCTGGGGATGGTTGGTCAGGAAAGTATATGAGTCCGGAAAGCATTATAGTACAAAGACAGAGCTAATCGAAGGTACTGAACACGCTTAATCAACCATATCCTTGAATAATATTGAACAACTTTATAATTCCATTCCTAATCGAATTTTTTAAGTAATTTCAAACAAAAAACGGCACTACGCACTACTAATATTACTTAAAAATAACAATAGCTTAAAATACAGGTGTTATTTTTGGTAATTAACTTAAATAAATTGAATTTAGCGCAGGGGGCGCTAATCTGATGACCAAATTTTTGTTACATGTTTTTTGTACATTTTACAAAAAAAATTATTAAAAAATAATCCTTATTGTTACAGTAGCCATTCTTTTTGTATTTTAAAGAGAAATAAATGGAGTATAATGTAAACAAATTTCAAAGATGGAGCTCTGCTGGTTTAGATTTTATTTAGCTTTGAGGTTGAGTGTAAAGGGGGGCGCTAACCTGATGACGCGCAGTGTATATATATATGCAAGACAACCGGAACACAAAGGATCCAAATATAAATATATATGTACATATATAAGTACATATATGTAACGTTACACCTATACCTATATTAAAAAAAAAAAAAAAAAAAAAAAAAAAAACGGGATATTATTGTAAAGCCAGGTGTTTCAAAACATAAACAGTAAAAACAAATCACAATTAAATACGTTCCTCTAAAATCTAAAAAAGTATATATATATATATATATATAATTATATATATATCGAATAAGTTCATCCATATTGATATTATCTAGTAATAGAGACTCTCAGTTCACAAATGAACAGCAACAAAAAAATAAAGCAAAATAAACAAATATGATTTTTTGAGCAATCAAATTTTGCCCAGTTTCCTGTCGAGTTTCCTTCCAAAGTTTCCCCTATTTTTTTTCTAACTTTTTTATAGACTCTTATGCTTCAATTTCTATTCTAATTGTGCTTTATATAGCTTAAAAGTATTCGAATTAAATAAATAATTTAATAACCCACCATTTAGCTGATAAGAACCCAGCTGACGTTCCAATAAAAAAAAAAGAGAAAAAAACAAAATATACATATATACATATGTATATACTGTATATGTATATGTTGTCCAAAAGTCCAATATGAATTATAAATGAATAATAAAAAAAAAAGGAGAGATAATCGAAATCTAAATACAAAACGAAATTGCAGTAATTCCAGATGCAATATCTATTTACAAAAAAAAAAAAAAAAAAATAAATATATAAAACAAGAAAAGTAGAATGAGAAAAACTTAATCTGCATACAGAACGAGAAACATATACATACATATGAAAGTGCGAAAAAGACACATATATGTATGTGTGTATCTATATATCTACACATTTTTCATAAAGTAAACTTTGTAGAGAGACAGGACGAGTTATTGTTGAACAACTGGACAAGCTGTTATCCAAAATTCGAATTCGACGAAGTTGCTTCAACTCCAAATTGCTGTCCAAATATTTTTCGATCTATGTTAGCTGTTTGTTACACCAGAGCGAGAAGGCAATATGCAGTTCAAGTAAATAATGTGCAAAGAACAAAATTATATGAAAAAAAAAAGCAAAAACAAAAAAAAAAAAATGTTCATAAAAAAAAATGTTCTATTTGATGTTATAAAATGAGAAAAACCAATAAAAACTGATGTGAAAAAAAGCAAACAAACAACTGATTTTCTATATACATATATAACTATACATGCTACAAAGCCTGGGGGTTCTTGAACCGTAAAGCAAAACAGACAAGAGCTGCAAATGAGGGGCGTTCAGCGAAACGTATAATTGAGCTCGTTCCGTGGCTGACTAATTGAAAGCTGGCGTCGCTGAATTGCTGATAAATCCATATGGGAGCAAATGAGCAGCAGCCGCAGTCAGTGCAGAACCAATTCATAAATCATAGTCTGTCTGATGATGGGTGCATTAGTTTGGCGACATTCCAGATGTGTACATAAATGTGTAAAATTTTATACAATTTATTTATTTTCTAAAGTCGCAGCTAATTAATTGTTTGTTTTTTACATACAGTATATTGGTATTGAAAACGTCTGTAATATCGTATTAAGATTATTTGAAGGCATTAATTAAGCCATATTAAGCAGTTAGTTGGGCTGGGGAAGGCGGCTTACAGCGCGGGCAGGCCAGCAGAGATGGCGCTCTCGATGCCGCAATGATCCTCGCCACGCACAATGCGGAAGAATCCGTTGTCTCCCCAGTCGGTGTTCCATGAGTTGCCAATTAGCCAGTAGGGCACTTTGCTATCGCCCCAAACGCCCCAGCCGAGTATGCGTATGGCATGGCCGCCCAGTTCTTTGCCATGGACATGCTTGTAGACGCCCGACTTGTACAATATCAAATCCTCATAGACTGTGAATGCGCCCTCCACCGGTCCGTTGGTCATGATTTCGCGTTGAATTTCACGCGGATTGCGTCTGATCGAGTAGGACTTGGAGCCAAAGTGTTTGTCTTTAGCATAATCAACGGAGTAGCTCGACTCGCATTGATGCTTGCAGGAAGGGGTTCTGCCATTTTTGCAGGGTGGGCGTGTACCATTCACGTGATGCTCACATGGCTCGATCTCATAGGGACGGCAACCCTATAACAGGCCAAACGGCCATTGAATAACTGTGAGCTACAATTCAGTGTTGAATGGACTTACCTCATTGGAGTTATAGGAGCCACCGCTCACAATGCCTTTGTGGGTCCAGTAACTCCAGGCGGCGCCAGGGAATCCGCCATTGCAGCCAAAGCCGCAAGTGTGGCAACACGAGACCAAATCCTCAGCTGAGAAATGGAAGTTTACAGTGCCATTGGAATGTATGCACACCTACAAATAAAATAAGTCAACAAATCGTTCAGCCTAAACAAAGAACATGCACACACACACACACGCATACACGTCTGTGTATGTTTCTACAAAGCCGTACACAAACACAGCAATTCAACGCAACTGTGTGAAATCGATAATCTAAATAATGATAAGCACAAAGGCAACTGCGTCATCTGCTTTGTATTTTGTCTGTGTGTGTTGTGCGAGGCTTCAGGTCAGTGGGGCATCGCTACTTACACGATCGGACATCGCCTCGACGGCACCAAAGGCCCAACAGGAGCCGCATGAGCCCTGATCACGGATCTCCCCTATGGTGGGGCAGTTGGGCCAGGCAGTACGCGCATCAAACGATTCGGGCAGATCGTCACCGTCATCTCCCACCAGATTACCGAGCACTTGGCTCTTTTCGGGCAGCGTAAACTTATGCGCATCGGGATGGACACCCATTAGGCCGCGTATATGTCCCTCTGATACAGATGCATCAAAGTTGCGACCAGGCTAATGGAAATAAACAATGGAAATGTCACGTCATCATAATCATAATAATAATATTAATAGCTTACCGTCCATGTCTTTGCTTTGCTGCGCACCAGCTCTATGAATTCATCACTTAGCATATGGGGATCATCCTCTCCGGCAGCGACTACGGCCACCAGAGCCAGCAGCGCCAAAGTTGCTGCAAAATATTTCATTTTACAGCTGCGTATTCGTCAAAATGGCGTTGACAGCGCAATTGAAAAAAAATTGTCAGAGCTCAACTAATCGTGTATGTGTATATATAATAATTTATATATGTATACAATTTGTCAATATAGATAAAAGAGTAGGCTTTGCGAATTTTATTTGGTTGACTGGCAAGCACCAGCTGCAATGGTAAACTGTTGTATAGTTTAGTTACACTCAATTTATATGCGTTGTTTCTTCTCTTTTCAAAGTAGCTGATAAGCGGCCATTGCAGTGATGACAAAAATAACGTGAGTCTCTTATCGATACTTGTGAGCAACGATATATGCGAAAAGTTGGTCATATTGATATTTTACAATTGTAAGATTTTGGCAAATTTAAAAATAATTGATTGCATTAATAAAATAATGTAATTTAAGATTATTTCATTTTATCATTGTACATCATCTATCAACAAGTTATGGATACATGGTCTAAGGGGCCAATTAGATATGCATGTGAAAAGTAAAATTAAACTAACAATCAAGAAAACAAACAAATCGTAAATCTTAACATTTATTTTATTCACAATGATTGAACTAAGTATTATCACAAACACATATTTATTTAGCTTAGACATATGGATTCCAGTTGCTGCCATCTTCTGGCAACAGATTATTAGTTATTAGCAATATGACGTCTATAATCCACCAGACTCCAACGCCGCCCATTGTCAAGAGTTTGCCCACAGCAGTTCCCGTTTGTCCCAAACAGAAGCGATCCATGCCCAGGAAGCCCAGCAGCATGCTGTATATCAATGTGGTTACGAAATAGTGATCCGTGTAGCGAACACATGGTACACCATCCCGGAAGAATGTGCGTGCGCCGTAACAGTCGATGTCCGTGTAGACGGTACATTGGACTTTGGTGTGCTCAACATCCTCATAGTTGGAGCCACCAAAACGCAGACAGCCGTAGCCCTTTTCATTGCGTGCCGAATCGTTATTCCGATGATCAATTGGCTCCTTGCATTCCAGAAAATCTCGTGGCAGAAACGAGCACATCACAGTCGGCCCCAACGGATTAAACGCTGAGTTGGTCGTGGAAGCTGCTTGCGAATTGGAGCCAACCTGTGATTGGGCCTGGACGGGTACAACCGATTGTACAGCTGTGCCGGAAACAACAGTTTGGGTCTGTTCTTTGTCACTGCGCGCCTGAATGGCATGGCTGACCGGACTAATGACTAGAAACGGGATGACAACGCTGAATAAAATTAGTTTTCGCTGCATTGTTGTTTTGCTTGCACCAAAACTAGAGATGAGCAAGATATACCGAGTTGTGTGCATAAGAAACCATCGCTTAAGCAATCTATCACGATGTATTGCAATTCATCGATATTTACTAAACATTGTTTATCATTTTATGCTGCTGGCGTCTCTAAAATAAGATAATTGTGATATTAAAAGCCGCCGTTGCATTTGCCTGATCGCGAGTTTTTAAAGTACACATCTCGTATAAATAAGCACAAATTGCCAACAACGAAGAAATACAATGCCATTCATTCAAATTTAGTATACATTGTAAACTGGTAACATTAACATTCGAAATGGATATTTTCGAAAATATTTGCCGCACTTGCGGCAACGACTGTTTGGATGCACTGGACATATTCGACGATAGCGTTATGGTGCTGGATAAAAACATTCTGATATCGGAGGTATTGTCGTCGTGCTTGCCCAGCTCGGCATCATTACCAGCGTTGAGCGAGGACGATGACTATCCCAAGCAGATATGCCGGGTCTGCATCAAGAAACTGATTATGATTTATGAATTCAATAATAAGTGGATAACGGCAACTAATGAATTCACTGTGGCCTTAAAATTCGAGCAACGTCGCAATCGATCCCGCCTCACGCAGTCAATATCATCTCCTGACGATCAGTTACCACTCAAATGCATGGGAAAAGCGATTGAAACAAATCTGGAATCTATAGCGCCAGCCCATGCTACTGGCATTAAGGCAGAAACAATTGTGTTCAAGCATGAGCCAAGTGAGGGTAAGTTCTTCAGTTTTTCACTTTAAACATATTAATGCATTTTTAAAAATTATTCACTTTTAGGTACCGAGATTGGAGACCTAATCGAAGAGGCTGAGTTGGTCCAGGATATGACGCCAAGGACCAGCATATCAATCAGATCGGCAACCAATTATCAGTGCGCTTTGTGTAATGAATGTTATCACACGCTGGCGGCCTACCAAAAGCATCATAAAGTCAATCATCGGAACTCTCAGTTCATGTTCTATACGCCAGGACAATAGACTCCGGTCACGTCTCTATTTTAACAGACTTATATATCTATATTAATATATATATACCGAAACTATTTGTATACATTTGTTTTACTTAGCTATTATTTTTTTTTTGTATTGCGGCAGCGCGAATGAAAACAAAGGGTACACAATTATATGATTATTCGTCGTCATCGTCGCGCACTTTCTGGGCGCGTGGATCATCGTGCCGGAACACCACATATCCCATTTTGTAGCGACGATTGTCACCATCCTTAGCGTAATAGTTGGTCAGGCCAATGCCTGCCATGATGAGGCCTGCAATGGCCATGGCTGAGCCGCCGACGATGTCGGGAATCTCGTTCCAGGCACGTTTCAGCAGCGATGTTGAACCTCGGGCGGCGGATGCTGACATTGTGGGCGCCTGCAAGTAGAGTTTGTATGTTAAATTATTCGTATATTAACTATAAAATATCGTTATACTTATTAAATCTACGCGTTTCAGTTACACAACAAGAGCAGTCCCGTTGTTTAGCGATGTGGTTTGACAGAAATATTTATTAGTGTTATCGATAGGTGAACACAACAAACTCAAAGCAGCGCACAGTTAGTTATTCATGCAGGTTGGCAGCTCTGCTTTTTCTAAATGTCAACTTTTCGTTTCTTTGAAGAAATTTGAAAAACATTGCCTAGAATGCCATTTTTTAGTTAGTAGAATTGTATTATTTGTTTAAGTGTCTCAGACAGTGGATGAATTGTAGAAAAATCAACTGCAACGATAAATAGAAAATGGTTGCCCGCCAAGCTCTAAAATCTATCGATTGCTCTATGATTAACAGTATGGGTGTCAACATAACAGAGCTTGCTCCACACTTTACAGACAACAAAATTTATTACTTCCCAAAGTAACAAGTGTCTGAGTTTCACTTGGCTCTATTTGTGCTTTACGCTGCTGAAAATATATCGAAATTGTTTGTAGCGGCAATATGACGGCCGTACCAGGACGAGCTCTGCACTATGTATTCAAAATTGGTGATCGCAGCAAGAATTCCTTCTTCTTCCGCACGATTCTGGGAATGCAGGTGGGATGGAGCTCACCTTAATTGCCAAGTTGCAAAACCCGGTTATAAACATGGCTATACACACGGCTTGTAAATGTGTATCAGTTTGCATGCATGTATGGGTGGCAATTAGAATTGTGAATGGCTGTATATTTTATCTGAGTAATGTGACTTGGCAATTTCGTCAAGAATTGTTTATTATGTGCTAATAATAGATATTAGATAAGAAGAAACTGATTTGAAGCTTCTCTCTTTCACAATAGGTTTTGAGGCACGAGGAGTTCAAAGAAGGCTGCGATGCCGAATGCAACGGGTATGCCATAAGACTCTAGACTCAAGACTCTAGAAATTCTCTAATCTCTGATTTTCATGCGCAGACCCTATGATAATCGCTGGAGCAAGACCATGGTCGGCTATGGGCCAGAGAAGTCGCATTTTGTCATTGAGCTAACGTACAATTATGGCGTGAAGAGCTACGACCTGGGTAACTTTTGCTCCACTCTACTTGCCTCTTCACATTCTTCACATCCTCCCGCATCTTTTAGGCAACGACTTTGGCGGCATCACTATCAACTCCAAGGATATCTTAAAGCGTGCCGCCGAGCACTCATATCCCATTGCCAAGCAGGGTGATAAAAGTGTTCTAACCTCGCCAGATGGCTATAAGTTCTACATTGTAGACACAGCGCCCGGCAGTGATCCGATGCAACAGGTTGAGCTCCATGTGACCAAATTGGATGCGTCACGCAAGTACTGGACGGAGCTGCTTAAGATGAACGTGTTGAGTGCCAGCGAGGACTCCATTCTGCTCGCATATGACGCGAAACAGACAGCTCTGCGTCTCACGGCTCTGAAAGAGCCTCTGGATCGGGCCAAGGCATATGGTCGCATTGCCTTTGCGGTGCCTGCAGCCATTCAGAAGCCATTGTACGATGAGGTCCAGAAGGCGGGCGGCACCATATTGAAACCATTGATAACACTGGACACACCCGGCAAGGCGACCGTCACGGTTCTAATTCTGGCCGATCCCGATGGTCACGAGATATGCTTTGTCGATGAGGAGGGCTTCTCGGAGCTCTCCCAAGTGGAGGAAAATGCTGCGGCGCAACTGGACAAGTATATACGCAAAGATCCATTCCAGGAGAAGTAGCAGGGGCAGGGCCAGGCGCAGGCGCAGCAGTAAATCAACCAACATCAATTGGGCCGCATTCTTAATCGTAATCAATGTAAACAGATCGGGCACTTATTATATAAATATTATTATTATTATTTTTTTTTAAATGCTATTTACACACATTTTGAGAAAATGCATAAATTTATTTAAGTGGTAACCTTGTTAAAAATCGCTTATTTTCGTTTACAAAGGGTTCGTGCGGCTTTATATAACTATATATCACGCTCTATAAACCAATTCGATTTCAAGCCGATCATAAACGAGCTCGTTCAAGAGTTAGTCGGGAAAAAGCAGAGTTTGTTGCCAGCTGCTGGGCTCCGGAATAAGTTGGATTGTTAATAAAAGTCGGCTATGCTAGTTATTCCTCTATGTATTTCTTCTATGTGTTCTGTAAGTATATTCCCAAAATATTTCTTCAAGGTGCTGTATTTCTGCAAAAAGTTTTGTGTCTTCCAAGTATTGTCTCAAGGCATTTCCTGAAAATATTTCTTTTAAGTATTTCTTCTAAGTATTTTCTATAAGTAAGTATTTCCTCTAAATGTTTCCTCTAAATATTTACTCTAAGTATGTATTTACTCTGATTATTTCCTCCAAGTGATTCCTCCAAGACTGCTCTGTCCCACCAGGCCTCGACGACTGAAGAAATGCTGCAGCTGCTGCTCTTTATATAGGGCGACTTTCACTCAGACACTCTCATATGTCGCTCTCATATGTTGAGCCCGGTGCCAGGTAGAGCTCGTTGCAGTCGAGCTTCAATGGACCAATGGGAAGGAACACTCTCTGCTGCTGTGAGCATTCTGACTTCGTTCCACTTAAATATAAATACCAAATGAATACTGTTGCATACATATAGACAATTTGAGAGATCTTTTGTAGTTCTTCTTCGTTCCTGGCCTTTGCCGTCCCTTTGCCTTTGAAAGAGTCCGACAGAGAGTCGGACGGAGAGACAGACTGTTAGTTGGACAGTGAGATAGATAGAGAGACAGTTTGACATATGTATGTACATATGTATGTAAATCGGGCTAGGAATATACATATATGGTTGGTTGATAGGGCGAAATGTTGATATGATAAATAGCTTATTTATAATAATAATATCGTGCAATTTATTATTATTATATGGCATAGACAGCTGTTTCTTCTGTTCTATAGTTCCATATTCCATCCCATGCTTATTTTAATAATAATAATAAATTTATTATGTATGTACTCTTGTTATTATTGTATTATTATTTAACTAATATTGGTCAAGTTTATTTTGTAATATTCTATGATTTTTCATTTCTTTTCTGTCAGCAGGTAAAAATTCTGAAACAAATGTAAAGCAATATTATAAATAAACAAGTAAGAAAGCTATAGTCGAGACTGCTCGACTACGAGATCCCCTGAACCCTTGGAGCAATAGCTATTTCAATAATTTTTCGCGTCTTTCAGCTTACACAAGAAACACGCACACACGCACACATACACACACACTAATAACTTTTCTTGTGGACATACGATCTTCATGAAACTTTCAGATTATGATTATAACATAACAATATGTATTTGCCAAAGCACAAGTCTCTAGTATTTGAAATACGTTTTTTACAAACATGGGGGTGAGGGGGTGGATATAAAGGTGGGGGCTAAATTTTAACAAAAACCGAAATTGTATAAATTGCATATAAGCATACATACAAAATTTGGAGACTCTAGCAATAAAGGTGTAGGAGATATAATTTTTATAACTGGTTTTCGATAAGGTCTTTTATCGATAAAAAAAAGAACGGGATGAGTTATCGATATTTAATGATAAACTCGATATCCGCGCTGTAAATACGGACATTTAAAAAAAATTTGAAGTCTCTAGCTTTTATATCTTCTGAAATCGACGCGTTCATACATACTGACTGACGGACAGACAGACAGACGGACGGACAGACGGACGGACAGACGGACGGACAGACAGACGGACAGGGCCAAATCGACTCAGCTCGTCATCCTGATCAAGAATATATATACTTTGTGGGGTCTGCCACGCCTCCTTCTCCCTGTAACATACATTTCAACAAAACCGTTATACCCTGATTTCCCATTGAAAATGGGTTCAGGGTATAAAAAATAAATAAGTAAATAAACAGACTACTAAAATGTTGTACAATATATAAAAGCAGGGACCGTAACGATTATAACTTTTATAGCAAAAAATTAAAAAACAAGAATTATTTTTGAGTAATTAAAAAAAAAATATTTGTAATTATTATAAATAATAATAAAAGCATTGCAATAAGAAAATTTGTTAAACATTGTAAATAAAAAGTCAAAGCATACCGTATATATATGTCATTATAGCTTCGTTTTTATTTTTAATTTTTAATACATTTATATAAACCTTTGGATTTTAGTTTCGTTTAAATTTGTTTTCAATTTAAATAATTTTTGTTAGAAATTCTTTTCTTTTTTTAAGAATTTTTGTTTTTCATTTATTTTCTTAACCAAAAAGCGCAGTTTTTTTTTTTTTTTTTTTAAATATATAATTTATTTGAGTAAAATTGGGGGCATCATGTCAGAGTCTTGGCCAGTACCGCCCGCCGCTATGGCACCACCTCTGAATCCGTGGGAGGTGAATCCATGGACGGACGAACAGAATCGCTCGATGTGGCGCAGCTGGGCCCAGAGCCTGGCCAGAGTACGTCGCAATGCGGCGGCGATGTATTACTTTGAGAAGAGCATCGATGACCAGGATGCGAATCGTTACGTGGCGCTATGCATGCGTAGCAATTTCAATCGGAGCATCGCTAATCCGGAGCAGGCATTGAGGGACAGCCTACGGGCGTCTGAGGCGGCACCGTGCAATCCCTACGTCAATCTGCAGGTGGCCGATGCGCTCTACGATCTGAATAGGTTCGAGGAGAACAAGTTGACGCTGCACAACAATTCGCTCCTGGTCCAGGGCACCAAACGGACGCCGTTCAGTCGTCGGATGCTGGTTGTGAACAGCAACTTTCAGGACAGTGTGGGTGAGAGTCTGGGTCCGTTCTTTCTGAAGAACATGGCGCGAATGGCCAGCATCCATGATGGGGCGTTGAGGCCGGAAAAGATGATGCCAGCAGCCACGCGCTGGAAGGCGCTCAAGGATCTCAATGAGTGCGACGTGAACAGCCATAAGGAAAGGAAAAGTATCCGGATATCGCCAATGGAGATGGCACGACGGAAGCGTAAGATGAAAATCTACAATCAAAACTATTTAAGTGGCTCCTGGATAGATGTTGCCTTCCTCAAGAACCTTCGAAATAATCCGATTGTGCTCTTGGAAAGGTACTACAAGTCCGCCAGGGAAAGGCGAGAGTATTTAAATAATTCCTATACGACTACGAAAAGGTTCATCAAAATGCTGCACAGTCGCAGTCCCATGTACAACGAGCAATACCAACGCTTGTCCAACCCAAAGGTCATGGATCGCCTGCACCAGGCCAATATGTTTCGCATACAGTATCAGGCGCGTCGGCATATGCTATCGATACTGCGTACTATACGTGAAATACGCGAACAGAAGGACGTGCAGGTGAGTCAACGGATCGCCGGACAGCTAGACGGACAGCCAGATGGACAGCTAGACAGATAGTTAGACGGTCAGTTAGACGAGCAGACGGACGGCCAATAATAAGGATAATCGGCCAATCAGGCGGACAGCCGGAAAGATCAACAGGCGGATAGTAGAACGGAGAGTCGGACGTGTAGTCAGTCGGGCAGCTAGACGGATAGCTAGACGGACGGTTAATCAGACGGATAGTCGGTCAATCAGATGGAGTGTCGGAAAGATCATCAGGCGGGTAGTAGAGCAGAGAGTCGGATGTGTAGTCATTCAGACAGGTAGGCGGACGGCTAGAAGGACAGTTGGACGAGAAGGCGGACGGACAATCAGACTGACAGGCGGGTTGTAGAACGGAGAGTCGGACGGGTAGTCAGTCGGGCAGCTAGTCGGACAGTTAAATGAGCAGTCGGACGGACAGTTAAGCAATCAAGCGGACAATCTGAAAGATAATCAAGGACGCAGTGAGACGTAGAGTCGGACAGACAGTTAGTCGAATATTTAGGACAGTCGAGCAAGCAGCCGGACGGACAGTTGATCACTCAAACGGACAGTCGGAAAGATAGTCCGGGAATCAATACGACGGAGAGTCATACGGACAGTCGACGAACTTTTTCGACTGTCAAATAAGCAGTCGTATATACCGTTAGGCAGACAGTCGGACTAGTAATCGGACGGACAGTCACAGGGACAGTAAGACAAACATAAAATACCCATATATTTGACTTCGTAAGCTCGTAGAATTACGGGTCTTGCACTTTCTGCAACTCTATCTTGAATTCGATTATCCAAATTAATGTAGAAATTAATAATCATTTGAATAGCGCCTGCGTAAGTTTGTGGCAAAGGTAATGGGCGAGTTTTTTGTGGTGAAGACGAAGACGGTAATGCCGTGGAAAATAGAGTTCATGAACGAGGTGTACAATCACTTGGCGCTGAGCCTGTGCGAGGCATATAATATACCGAACTACAAGGTGTCGCCGTACGATAACGATTCCATGTGCCGCCTGCTTGGCGTCAATCCATTCAAGCCCTCCGAGGTGCACCAAGTTGTGTTTGGCAGGCGACCGTCGTATGTGTATGACGAGAGCATGCCTGTCAACGAACACGTCAGGGCGTTCAGGTGAGTTGAGCTGAGATGAGCATGGGGATAATTGATATTAAATATGAATATGAATTATCTAGGATGGCCAAAGCGGCGCTGGATAGGCGCCTCTACTTCTCCAAGCTGCCCATCGAGCGTAGCTATTTGATGTTCGAGATTGCGGATTGTTTGCTGTCGCAGAATCATCTGGTGCAGTGCCTGCTCTATGCGAAGCGTGCCATCGATGAGGCCAGGCGGGCGAATAGTAAGATCTGGGAATTCCTAGCCACCATGATGCAGGCGAAGGCGCACGCAATTCTCTGCAAGTACGAGCGACAGGCGGAGGTGCTCAACTCCGCCTATGTGCTGGCCAAGGAACTCAAATCGCCCAAACTCTGCACCTTCATCGAGCTGTGCCGCATGCTCAACAAGGACTACATGATGCTGCGAAAGATGGCCGTACCGGCTTCCACCAGACGACTACGCTACAGGGTCTCCAATCGGTCCAGCACCGCACTGTCTGTATCGCACTAGTGTAGCGAGTACCGTACAACCGTCACAATGTGGGACTTTCCCGCATTCCGTTGTACAGCACCCGCTTCACTGGCTCGATTACGACTCGAGCTGAGATCCGCTTTTAGCGTAGGTAGTAGATATTGTATTTATTTCAAGCGATCAAATCAACAAAGCTATTTCAAATTTTATGATAAGTTTAACAATCGACATAAATTGACATTACAAAATTCTGTAATTCATAATTCATAAATCTAAAAAAAAATTATCAAATGCAATTTTGTATTGCACTGTTAATAAAATTAACTTTATTTTCAACTAAGAATTTCGGATTTTGTATCTTCGTGAGTACATGAGAATTGCATAGAAGAGCAATTCAGAGTAAAGACTTTCAATTTATTGATTCAATTACAGATAATTCTTTTCTCTTGGAAATCTTTCTTACAACAATAGGTGCAACTCAACCATCCCCCTATGTATGCATAAAATATAAATAAATAAAGGGTATTCCTTCGAAGTATATCTATCTTTATTTATTATCTAAAAACACTTGAATTTACCAATATTTTTCCTTAATTTATGAATACTTACAGTGTATATGAGTGAATTAAAATGGGCCATCATGCCGAATTTGCATAAAATATAAATATAGGGTATTCCCTCTACACATGGCTCTACCTTTTCAATATCTAACAACTCTTAGATTAATTAATATTTCTCGTTAATTTGTGATTATTTACAGGGTAGATGAAATAGGCCATCATCCCAAGGTAAAGGGTATTCCCTCTAAGCATATCTATCCCTATCGAATATAAAACTTCCCATACATTAATTAATATTTCTGGTTAATTTACAATCATTTACAGGGTATATGAGGGCCATCATTACGAATGTAAATAAAATACGAATTTATAAAAGGTATTCCATTCCCTCTACATATGGCTTTACCTATTTAATATCTAACAACCCTTACATTAATTAATATTTCTGGTTAATTTACAATCATTTACAGGGTATATGAGTAAATTTGAATGGGCCATCAATACGAATTTACATAAAATTAGAATTTATAAAGGGTATTCCCTCTACATATGGCTCTACCTATTTAATATCTAACAACTCTTAGATTAATTAATATTTCTGCTCAATTTATGATTATTTACAGGGTATATGAGTAAATTCAAATGAGCCATGTGCATAAAACATAAATTGATGAACACTTGTA